CGCCCCACCCGCCTGCCTCGCACCGGGTTTTACTCACCCGCGAGCGCCGAGCCGCAGCCGTCCACCGGAAGTGCTGTCCGCTGCCGGTCCGCTCCTCGAGGCCTTCCCCCGGTCATTTCCGGGGTTGCTCTAGGCAGGGCGGAGGACTCGGCCTCAGTGGTGTGTGGGAGGCGAGCCCGGGCTGAGCTGGGGCTAGAGGCGAGGCGGGAACCCTGCGGGTTGGTCTCCCCTTTCGTAGAGTTGGTGCCAAATTACGAGAGCCCTGGTGTTATGAGAAGTGGAAATACTGTTTTGAGTGAGGCTCAGTAGTCCGAGAAGGGTCGGCGCGGAAGGCCAGGCAGGTCTGAGCAGGGAGCTCCCAGGACCTTCCTACTTCCCTATCCGCTGAGTGCCCTGGCCCGTCTGGCCAACCTGACCTGGAGCCTCACCCTGGCATAATTGTCTCTGATGAAGAGATTTGAAATGGCTGAGCTGAAGAGACTTCAGTGACATTGAGACTTGAGTATTTGCTGCGATGGAGACTTTGGGGGATCTTGAGATGGGGTGAAACTTTGAGAACTGCAGAGGTGCACTGTGGTGGGCTGGATGATGACCCAGGGCACTCACATCCCAGCCTCCAGAACCTGTGAACGTGGGGCCTTCCAAGGCGGGAGAGAATTGGTGGATGCCAAGTTAAGATTCCCAAGATAAAGTTCTGATTATCCAGTGGTCATCACAGTGTGAGGCAAGAAGAGCAACGTGATGGCCAGGGCAGAGGGGCTGGGGTCACACAGAGAGGCGAGGCACGTGTTCTGAAGAGGAGGGAGCGGCCCCAGCAGAGGAAAGCAGGTGGCTTCTAGAAGCGAGGAAAGCAAGGAACAGATTTCTCTCTTAGAATGTAGCCCTGCTGACATATTGATCTTATCTCTAAAGGTCTCATTTCAGACTTCTGACCTTCAGGAGTGTAAAATAATAAATCTGTGTTTAGTCTACCATGTTTATGCTAATTTTTTCCCATCGCTATAGAAATGCATACAGATTTGGGGGACTTACTCCTCCTCACTTCACATCCTTCCTTTTGCTCTCAGGATCCTATTCTGCCTGCTTCTCTCTCCTCACTGCCTTGCAGGTTTCCAGCTGACGGGACCCACTCCTTAGCTGTGTTTGCTCTATCTGTTCGCACTGCCCATGTGGTCTCCAGTATCAGGACTTTAATACCAGGAAAGAGGGTGGCTCCCATGTCTCCTGCCAGGACCGCCCCCCTCCACTGAAATCCAAACTACCATCTACCGCACACCCTACACAGCTTCCCAGCAGCACCTCAAAGACAGGGTTTCTGAAACAGTCCTCCACTTCCTGCCCAGCCCTGCTCCATCCACAGCTCTCCCATCTTAGTCAGTGGCAACTCCACCATCTTAGTTGGACCAGAAAACCCAGGAGCCCCCTTGACTCTCTCTCCCTCGTACCTGATATCCAATCAGCCGGGATCTCTGATTGGCTCTGTCCATAAAACTCATCTTTTTTACCTCTCCAGCTGCTGACCCCTTGTCCATACCTCCAGGATCTTGCAGGTTCTTCTTTCCTGTCCCTGCCTTTTTTTTTTTTTTTTCCGTCTTTATGCCATGATCAGCTGTCAGCTGTTGCATAGCAAACCACCCTAAAACTTACTGCCTTGAAACAGCAACCACCCCATCTAGCAATGGTTCTGTGGGTCAGAAGTTGTACACTAGAATTAAATATGTTTGACAGGAGGAAATTGAGTTACGGAGCATAGCAAGCACGTGGTGGGATTAGAATCCAAGATCCCTGGAGTAGCTCCCTCAGCAGGGTTCCTGGTACAACCAGGTCCCAGATGTTGGCCCTACTCCAGTGCTTGTCTCTCTGCTGCCACCCTGTGGACCTGGGACTGAGTGCACCTCTCAGACCTGCCTCCCAGATGGCAGGGGTAGGGGCTTGGCACAGAACAAAGCCTAGGGCATTACTCTGGGACCCTCAGGCTACCTCTTAATGGTGAAATTCACTCTGGAGAGGGTCATAAAGAGAAAGAAGGAAGAAATACAGTGGTGTCCCCTGGAGCCCGACACAGAAGTTCCCTCACTAAGCTATGTCCCAGTGCACAGGGTCATGGCTCCAGACCAAACCTGGACAGCTGCAGCAGATCTAATGGCCATTCACAGCAAATTGGCCTGGAGAGTATCAGTCTCCTTGCTCAGGTTCTGGAGGCTCAAAGTGAGGAATCATCAGCTACCAGTCCTTCCAGGAGGGTCTTAGGTCGTGTCCCAAGCAGAGGGGTATTTGTGAAGCCCACTGCCCAGTGGTAGAGAAAGGAAACTGTCCTAGAGGCATCTGGAATCCCCTGGCTCACCAACCTCCAGGAGGGAAGAGTGGGCATGAAGAACATGGAGAGGCAGAGGGGCTACTGGTGGAGCTGAGGGCTGAGGACAGGGGTGATGCCCAGCAGGAGTGGGTTCAGGGCAGGGCCACTGATAATGCTTGGTGAGACCAGGAAAAGGTGCCTCATCTGGGTAAACAGGGGTCATGGGAGAATTAGAGACAGAATGGTGGTGGGCTCTGAAGGACTGTACTGCCCAGCCTGTTGTCCAGAAAGCATTCCCGAGATTCAGTCCCCCAGTGTCCACTGAAAACCTGCTCAGGACACCTCACCTAAGACCCTCCTGGAAGGACCAGTGGCCGGCAGGTCCTCATTTGAGACCTCCAGAACCTGAGTGAGGGGCATTTCCAGGGCCCAGGTCCCCTTCCACACAAAGGGCTGCAGGCAGAGGGAACAGCTGCATGGCAGGGTCAGCCCACGGGCTTGGAGGAAGACTGCAGGAGGCCAGCTACACGGGGGCTCATGGTGACAATACCTATGCTTTATTTGGGGAGAGCAGTGATCTGCCCAGACTGACGCACACTCGTTCTCCCCCAACATTCTTACCACACCATCATACCCATACCCATGTGACTTGTATGGCACAATCACACACCATCACACTCACATGTCACATGCACACACAGAGACCTCGTAAGACATGGCCTTAATGGGGGCAGCTCCAAGGGTGACCCTGAGGGATCCGGCTGCACAGGAGTTACACCCCTCACCTGCCAGTGCATTGTTCCGAAGGAAAATATCTACAGCTGTGTAAGCAGAAGTCAGTTGTGGTTTTGCATTGAATGTGCCACCTTAATTTTTAAAACTAGCTCTATATGAAGTAAAAAATTCAGGCAAATGTTATGTGTGGTTAGGCATAGGGCTTCATGGCCTGTTGGCAAGGACTTCCTGCTAGAGGTCTACACCCAGGGAGCAGCAACTTCTGTACTATGTGAACAGGTAGGAGAGCCCAGCGGGTTTGGGCTGCACAGCCAGGCAGGTGGGTGGAGGACTAAAACAGAACAGGAAAATCTGGAGTCCCAGGAAGTGACTGGAGTGCAGGGGACCAAAGCTAAGGGTGAGTCATGTGGACACCACACCCAGACCCTGTCCACTGCCCCTCTGTGACAGAGCTTTCCAGGGAGTAGGACCACTAGAGGATCCAGGCTCAGTTTAGTCTCAGGGGCTGCATTCAGTGTGTGCCCAAAGCACAAGTGATGAGGAACTGTGGTCAGGGTGACCATGGTCAGGACCCGCTGTATGAGCATACCAGGGCTCAGTGTGTGACCAGGGTCGGAGCTTAGGGTGTGACTGTGATCTTGGCTTATTTGGGGACCAGGGGCAGAGATCAGACTAAGCCGAGTGTGGGCTCACTGTTGGGCTGATCAGATTTCAGTCTGTGGTCAGGGTGAGACTGCAGAAAAGTCACAGTCACAATCGTCAATACTTGAGCTGTGGCCATTAGGCCATCTCTAGGCCAGCTCCCACCCTTGGCTCTGCTGACACTGGAGGCTGGGGATTATGTCCTGTGTGATGCAGGGTGCTGAGTAGATCCTGGGCTTCGGCCTGGGCCTATTCTACCCAGTGCTAGCCCTGGGACAGCTAAAACTGTCTCCCGGCCTTGCCAAATGAGCTGAGGAGAGGGCAGAATTGCCTGTTCAAGAACCACTACCTTGAAGTACTGACTTGATATCAAATCTGATCGGCAAACACATCCACACCTGTAAATATTTGGAGAATGAATGTTCAGGCTGGTGCCGGGTGCAGGGTACCTCCAATACAGAGACAGATAAGGAAGGGTCCTGTACTGGACGGTGAGTCCCAGAGGACTGGGGCTGGGTGGGATGAGGGGTCAGATAGGCAGCAGTCACACAGAGAAATAGCCAGGCCTTGACACCTGACTCATGGCACACGGACTGCCCTTGGCTGGAGGGAATGTTCAGAGAGAAGTTCTGGGAGGGGAGAGAGGACAAGACAGTGTCCTGGGGAGGCTATACTTGCCCTGTGTGACCTTTAGCAATGCCCCCGCAGCCTCTTCACTGTGAAAACAGAGAGCTTCCAGGGTGAGCCCAATCTATGAGGTATTAGGGAGCTGGGCAGGGGAGATCCCCAGGCTTGGAGCTGCCTGATCCTAGGTGGAAGCCAGGCTGGTTGGTAGGCATTGCAGAGTGCCAGGGTGAGGGGTGTGGGTCTTGTGTCACTCCTGATGTGTCATCTCCGTCCAAGACTTCGGTGACTCTAGGGAGCTGTCCAGAAGGCTGGGGGTGGTGGACTCCTGAAGCTCCCCCTCCCTGCCACACCTTCACCATTCGAATGCTCCAAGGCCCTTCTCAGGGGACATGAGGTGGGGGAGGAAGAATGTTTAGGAAACCAACAGGACAGGAGAGTCCCAGGGAACTCCGGGATGTCCCTCAGCCCTGAGCAAGTGGGCAGTGCCCTGGCTAGTGCTTCTATCCACTAACATCCAGCCAGAACAGTGGCATGTCACAGGGGTCATTGGAAGAGTCTGGCAGGGGGACATAGAGGGGCTCAGAAACAGGGACCACAGACAGCCCACAGCCCACAGCAGCAGGGAGCCACTGGTGTACCCTGGGCCTGGTAGCAATATGGAAGGAACAGGGACCAGCAGCTGGCTGGGGAAGGCTGACCTGCAGGGACTGGGCCCTCTCATAGCCACAGCCACCAGGGCCCAGGCATCAGGGTGCTGGAGCGGGAGAGGGCTTGGCCTCTATGCCTTCCTGCTGTGCCCAGGTGCAGAGGAAGTGGGGATGGTGAAGCACATCTGCAGTGCCTGGGCTCCTGCTTCTTCCTTCTCCCTGGGCACTATAGAAAGCTGAACATTTCCCTGAGTTCCAGCTTGTGGGAATTAACAAGGCACTGAGAGTAAAACCTCAGCCCAGGATGGCACCCACTGCTCCAGAAAGGTGAGCCTGTAGCTGTCCCCAGTGGCCCCCCCCCCGGGGGGGGACCACCCAGGAAAACCCCACCCTGTGACTCCTGCTAGTTGCCAAGACAGCATCCACTGCTGTTCTGTCTGGGATCCTCTCTCACTGAGGCCCGTCAGCCAGTGGCCCACAGGCCCCAGGAGAGCAGCACAGCTTCCCTCAGAGCACAAGAGGCCCCAAGGAGGGCCCTGTTCCTCTGCTAAAAGACTGGGTGGGCCTCGAGAATGTGGTCTCCCTCAAGAAAGGGTTTCTTCTCAAGAGTGTGGTCTGGTCCCACTTGGTAAGGCAGGAGGCATAATCTGGGGTCTGAGGACTTGCCAGTCTTCCTGCAGGGAGAGTGCCCCAACCTAGGCAGGACCTGCTCCACCCAGAGGCAGAGAAAGGACAAAGAGGTTAAGAGAGAGTTTGGGAGTGGCCCCAGCAACCTGTTGCTGTTGACTGGCTAGTGTGGCTTCCCCTGCTGGCTGCTGCTATATAAAGTCCTCCTGAGGCCTGCTCCCCTGAAGACTTGTAACCATGAAAGCTGTCCTCCTTGCCCTGCTGGCCATCGGCTTGGCCCTGCAGCCAGGTGAGGCTTTGGCTACCATTGGGGCAGGGCTGGGAAGGGATGGGGGTGTGAGGACAGAAGGGGGCCCCTGAGGGCCAGACAGAGGGGAGGAGGAAGGGAAGAGGAGGGCAAAGGAAGGAGGGTCTCATCCCACCTGGTACCTTGGACAAGTTCTTGACACATCTGAGGGGCAGGTTTTGGAGGTGGCATGCCTACTTTGCACCCCTTGAGCAGCACTGGCTCCTAGAGGGACAGACAGATGGATAAGGATGCTAACCAACAGCCTAGGAGGGCAGGGGCCAGAGGCCTCAAGCTACAAGCACCCCAGGCGGAAGGGGGGAAGAATGGGTTGTGGACCTAAAGGTCACTCCCGAGGCCATCACTGGCTTCTGCTCCTCCAGCTGGAGCAGTGGCCACCCAGGCTGAGGACCTGTGGAGACAGGGGTGTCTGCTCTGCTCTGGCTCAGCCCTCCTGCCAGGTGTCCCCGGGCACTTCACCAGCCTGCTCAGAATCTCAGCTTAATCTTCTGGATAATAGAGAGGATTAGGAAAATTGCTGCTGAGACCACTGGAGCACTAAACAGGGAAAGGTTTGGGTGTACTGAGGGCAGGGCTGGGAATGCAAGGCATGTTTTCACAAGCTTTGCCCTTTTCTGACGAGAGGACACTTAATTGTGACACCTGGTATGTGGGGGCCCCACCCCAGAGACGTGGCCCAGGGGCTCACACACAGTAACCCTAGAAGGGGCTAAGAAGCCAGCTGGGATTAGACAAGGACAGGTGAGCGGATGTCTGGTGGCAGGGGGAAGGGTCTTGACAACCCCTGGGGGCCAGCTGGCCTTTCCAGGTGCTACTGGCAAGTCCTGGAGCTTCTCACCCTTCCCTGGAGGGAGCACAGGCACCTAATGAAGACTTTGGTCTCTAATGGTGGGAGGTGGTGCTTCAGTGCCATGAGCAGAGGCAGCAGGGGAGCCTTTCCTGGGAGGAGGAGGTACGTGGACCTCTGTAGAGGTGGCCCAACCTCAGAGGGATCCTGTCTTCCCAGGTCTGGAGGGGCCTGGGGGAAGTCCTCTAAAGGAGGCTGGCAGACTCTGGGGGACCCCCCTCCCCAGCAGGGTTTGGCAGCCACTGAGTATCCCGCCCTCCCATCTGCAGGTGCTGCCCTGCAGTGCTATTCCTGTACGGCCCAGATGAGCAACCAGGACTGCCATAATGTGAAGAACTGCAGCCAGACTGAGACCTACTGCTGGACGTCCCATGTCCGTGAGTGTCAACCTGCTGTGCTCCCTCCTCTCCACTGGCAGCTGCTAGAGAGCCTGGGCCTTGTCCCTGCCACTCCACCTTCTGCCAGTCTACTCACTTACTCATCTATCCCCAAGTGCCTGCTCAGCTTCCTACCTGTCTACCCTGTGCTCAGGGTACTTAGCTCCAGGCCCTGATGCCCTGGGCACTTAGATGTGGATAAGACCAAGCCCCTGGCATTGGGCAGCTCTTGGTCTCATGGCCAGCCTGGGGGATGGGGAGCTGGAGCTCCCGTTAGAGGAGGCACAGGGTGGAGGGATGGGGCAGGCCTAGACAGGTGAGTCCCAGGACCTGTCCTCAGCCAGTGGTCACCATGCCCTCCAGGTGCCATTGGGATCCTGAAACTCATCAGCAAGGGCTGCACCTCTGAGTGTGTGGATGACGCAGACAACTACTACGTGGGCAAGAAAAACATCACTTGCTGCTCCACTAATCTGTGCAATGTCAGCGGGGCCTATGCTGTGCAGCCAGCCACCACCCTGGGACTGCTCACGGCGCTCATTGGGCTGCTTCTGTGGGGCTCCGGGCAGCTGTAGGCTCCAGGGATGGTAGTACCCTAGCCCTGGGGTTCCTCACACACCTGGCCCAGTCTGCCCTGACCAGTCCCTGCTGTGGCTCCCTCCAGGACTCCTGTCCAGTGGCCCTCTAGTGACATGAACTAGTGTCCACTCTAGTGACATGAACTGTCTGCAGCTGCCCAGTATCCCAATGGGCCCTCCATCTCTGATCAGGCACCTCCTTCTCCAGAGTGCCTTTCCCTCAGCCCCCTCCAGGAGCTGAGCCAGGTCAGTGTGGGGCAGCACTTGGAGGCCTAGAAATGGCTAAGAAGAGAGGTTGGGGAGCAGTGGGGGCTAGATGTGAAGCCCTGATAGCCCCTCATGTTCAAGGGACCTGGGGAACGGCAGCTCCAACACACAGTGGGTCTTTAATAAACACCTCTTGGGTAAGTGGGAGAGAGCTTCGTCTTTTCCCTAGTACCTGGTAGGCATCGGGTAGAGGTGAGGGCTGTGTCTGGTGTGGATGTGGCCTTGACATCAGAGCTGTATGAGGGCCTTGGCAGGAGCAAATGTGGGGTACATGGAAGGAAGATATCCACAGGGGACCAGGAAGCTTTTCTTAGGGCTCCTAGCCCTTGCTATGCAGCCCTGAGCATGTGCCAAGTGTCTCTGGGCCCCAGTGCTCATCTGTGGCCTTCCTTGCTATGATGACAGTCCCAGAACTCTCACCGGGGGAGGGCTCCTGGTGGGAGGGTGTATCACTCAGCTTTCCCATCGTTGGGACACAAACCTGACACCCTACAATTTAAAGGCAGAGAGGTCTAATATGACTCAGGGTTTCCAGGGATTTAGCCTATGGTTGACCGGCTCCAAGGCAGAAGTATCGTGGCAGAACAAAGCTGCTCAGTTCATGGTGGCCAAGAAGCAGAGGAAGAGGAACAGCACTAGAGAGGAAGGGGCCAAGGACCAGATAGGCTACCCAGAGTCATGACTCCATGACTCACCCAGACACACCCAGCAGGGTGCTTTACCAATCGCCTGGGTGGCTTCCAAGACAATCACATTGATAGTCACGCTTAACCATTGCCCCACTAACTCCTTCAGACCTCACGAGCTTGTTTTCCAAAACTTTTGTTCTAAGAGCTGAAGGTTCGCAGTAAACACTGAGATGACAGGTCACCACCCTACACTGACCCCAAGGCCCAGACTCTGCCCTGGGCTGCCTCGTTCAACCTCCTGTGTTCCTCTGGGTAAGTCGGCCCAGGCCCTTGGGCTCTGGAGGCTTGTTGGGAGGACATGTCCACCTCCTTCCTTCCCTGGTCCTGGAACTTGGCCTGCCTGTGCTTTGGGCTGGGGACAACTGGGGCCCCGGATGGGAACCTGCAGTGGCACTTCCAGGGAAAAGGGGGCCCATGGAGGCTTAGGGAAGGGAGGCATTTGCTGCTTGTATCATGAACTGAGCCAAGGTCAGAATTTTGTCCTGGGACTCTGGGGGGGCATTGGGGAGCCCAGAAATCATGGGGCAGGAGTCATGCTGAGGATGAGCCAGGCCAGAGGCCCCAGGGTTTAAGCCAGTGCCCACCTGTGTATGACCTCAGGCAGGAGGCTTCCCTCTTACCTGGGGATGGGGGAGCATACAGCTTGCTCAGGCCAGTGTCTGAGTGACTGTGAGTGCCAACTGCTCCCTTCCCCTTCCCAACATCTTCCTCCACACCAATTTGCCTGGCTCACTCCTGTGGAGGAGCCCTGAGCTTAGCTTCCCGAGGCCTACCACCTCCAACCCCAGCCCAAGGCATGTTCAGCACACAGGCCTGGCTTCCCAGGGCCCACTCCAGACGCAGCACTTCACATCCATTGAGACTGCTTAGGCTGGTGCTTCCCAAGGCATCATGTTTCTGGAAACTGCTGGCTGAGGCTTGATGATCTGCTTTGGTGAGCACCCAGGGCATTGCCTGAGACCCTAGTGCCCTGCTGCGCTCTCGGCTGCTCAGCACACAGTCTCAACACCTGCTGGGGCCCAGGTGCTGCCCTTGGTACTCCATATAATGGGTCAACCAGGATTGGCTGGGTTCTGCCCAGCTCTGCTGGAAATCCTACAGCAACGATGGCGAACTTTTTAGAGCTTCCAATGATATAAACAGCACACTTTGACACGTGTGTCATAGGTTCACCACCACTGCCCTACAGTCACACCAGGCCATTGAGCCTACAGGGCAGTGCAGGAGACTCAGATGAGCAGGATAAACATATATAAAGAGCTGGGAGAACAACATAAAGGTGGGAGGAGGATCCAACGCTGGCATGGCCAGGAATGCTTGTTGGAGACCTGAGAGTTCAGAAGGGATGGTCACCTTTACTGAGCAGCACACAGCCCATGAGAGCCCACACATAGCCACACTCAAGAGGGAATCCTTCTCCCTGGAGCTGGCACTGTACCCAGGCAGCCCACCTAGGCCCTGTAGGATGGGAGTGCCTAGGGTGGGTGACTGTTACTAAGTGGGTGGTACAGGGACAAGTGTGACTGATTTTTGGGAAACACCTGATAGGCAGTGAGCTCTGTCCTTGGAGCTATCCAAGCAGACTCAGGGAATTAGGAAAGCAAGATCCTGCTCTACCACAGCTGTGGGTCCCAGAAGAAGATGGACAAAGGATGGTGATACTTCACTTTCTTTACACTGAATTACAATTACCTTGAGAGAAGGCAAGAAAGGCACCCAGACCCTGAGAGGTGGGAGGCCAGACCTGTGGCCCACTCATGGCAGGAAGCATCTTTAGAGCTACAGCTTCCAGGATCTGGAAATTTACCCAGGCCAGCAGGGTCCAGTGGCCACCCAAACTCTGCTGCTCCATGGCTCAAGCTCTGCTGGGTGGCTCCTTGAGACCATCCTCTCCAGGTGCAGAAGCCAAAACTGATGCAGCAGCTGCTAGAAGTTGAGCAGGAGGCCTGCCCCTGGTGGTGACGCCTGTCACTACTGTACACACTGGAGTCCTGGGGAAGCAAAGGGATAACGCCCTGCCTGAAGTTTCTGTCCACACATTGTGCAGGCTCACACACCCCAGGCACAAGCTGTAGAAGGGGCTTTCTGGTCCAGAGCCCAGAAATCTCCCATCTGACTTGGACTCCTTCCAATCCCCCAGTAAACTGCTGGTAACCCACACCAAGATGCCACATCCTTGTGAGAGAGCAACATGGCTGGTGTTGGCAGGCAGAAAGGTGAGGGTCCCTCAAGCATTTAAGAGCATGGAACACCTGTCATGTGATGGCCTGGGACACAATGGTCAGCAGGTACCCTGTCCCTAAGGTCCAGCAGCATGGAGATAGGCTTGTGCAATCAAATCTGTGTCAACTGGAGGTCAGCATGTTTGGGGGGTTGGAGTGAGGGGGATTCCAGGAGAGAAGGGCCTTGGACCTGGCTCAGCCTGGGGATTGAGGGATCAGGGATCAGGGAGTGCACTCAGGGAGCCTGCAGAGCTCAGGTCAGAGTCCAGCAGTCAGATGGGATACAGTAATCAAACTGAGTGACAGGACGCTGGACTTGGAACACGATTAAAAGGCTCTAAGGACAAGTCTTCAGTCCTCAGCCACCCCTCCCCAGATGGCTCTCAGAGCCCAGCCAGGACTAGGTGGATGTTAGAGGGACAAGTATATGCAATGTTTGGGGGCAAGTGTGTGCAATGTTTTCGCTGACAGGCAGTGTGTGCTCCTGGTCCCTGCTACCCAAGCAGAGCCAGGGATCTAGGAAACCTAGATCTGGCTCTGTTACAGCCGCAGGTCCCAGAAGCAAAACTGGAAAATTCAGTGTCTGCTATTAAGGGAGACAGAGACCAGCGGCCCTGCCACCCAGCACAGCGTGGGACAGTGGCATGGGGCTGCTCAGGCCATCTGGCAGTGTGTCCCCTGATCCTCCTCTGTGAGTACACGAGCCAGGCTGCTCCAGCCCCTGAGTAGGGCACAGCGCTTCCTCCTGGGCCTGCCTCCCGGGTCACCGGCGTTCACGGCCATCGAAAACCCTCTCGGGTCGCTCCTACTCCCACCCACGAAGGAAAGGGACTATGTGAGGAACGAGCGTGTGGGACAAGACTGTGCCACGGCCAGCGCCAAGGACAGACACCTACGACGAGGCTGCTGAGTCACTTTCATCTGCTCCTCCCCCGACACCCAGCGCTGCCAGCTCGGGTTTCCAAAGGGGGTGAGGGGACGGGAATGCTTGGGATCGGAACGCTTGGGGTGCCCTTAGGGGTCCTCAGGATCTAGGAAGTGGGGTGAGGGCCGGGGGGGCGTAAAGAGGGTGCAGGCTGGGCCTGAAGTGTTCGCCCGGGGAGAGGGCGGATCCGATTCACCCCGCCCCTCCAGGAATCCGCTAGGCCTCTTAGCTCTTCAGGGTCGGAAGGCCCAGAGCAGGCGCACTGGAACGCCCTGGAAATCCGCGGTGTCCCATTTTCCTTGCAAAATCTGCTGTCTAGCCCGGAAATGTTAGATCCTTTGGGCCGGCGGGCGCCTCCGTCTCAAGAGCTAGCGAGAGAGGCTGCGGGTGTCCGGGTCGTCCCGGACCGGCAGCGCCTGCAGTGTTGAGAATGGCCGCCAGATGCCGCTAAGACACTCAGAGCTCTCCGACTCCCCCTTCCCCTTCCGGGAAAAGCAAAGCTGCGAGGGCCGGTAACGTGGGTCGGACCACCGAGGGCGCAGGGGTGGGGTGTGGGAGCGGAGGGCGGGGCCGAGGCCAGCTGCGTGCGTGTTCAGCAATTTCAACATCAACTTCAAGTATCTCTCCATTAGAATTCTGCAACTTAATTGAAGACATGATACTTGGTCTCTATGGGCCTGCAGGCCCGAGGCAGATGGGAGCAGGAAGATGTCCCGAGACTCAGGAGAACAGTGGCGGATGAAGCCACTACTCTGTAGCAGTATATTTTATTTTTTATTTTTTGGTACTGGGGATCAAACTCGGGACTTTGTGCTTGCAAGGCAGGCATTGGAACCACTGAGCTAAATCCCCGGCCCTCTGGCCGTAGTATATTTTAAAGATCATGATCAAGTAAGATTTATCCCTGGATTGCAAGCACAGTTCAACGTTAGAAAACCAATCAATGTAGCCAAGTGTTGTGACACACACCTGTAATCCCAGCACTCAGGAAGATGAGGAAGGAGGATCCCTGTGAGTTTGAGGCCAGCTTGGACTACATAGTGAGTTCAAGGTCAGTTTGAACTACATGAGGAGACCCTGTCCCAAAAAACAAACAAAAGGGGTGAGGGATTTAGCTCAGTGGTGCCACCGCCTGCCTTGCAAGGTCAAGGACCTGAGTTTGATTCCCAGTATACATCGTACAGCACCTGTGCAAGCGCAGGGTGAGCAGCCCCCTCCCCCGGAAGCCCTGCTGCCAGCCTTTCCTTTGTGTCTAGGGCATTCCTTACTAGTGCCCTCTTGGGGGACCCCAGAGCCCCTAAGTCAGCTCGTGTGTCCGCTCATTTAGCTGGCATGTCTCGGTTCCATCTTCCTCTTTTCTGCCTTACCAGAGATGCCCAGGCTGTTCTTGCCCCTAGGAGGCCAAGTTCTCCTGCCCTGTAACCTGCAGTGCTGAGCCACCCTCTCTGGTGCTTGGTTCTAAACATGGGATGGGTGCAGTTTCTTAGGGGGTGGGGTTTGGGGCATTCTGGGGACACAAAGAACCCCATTGGCGCAGCTTGGAGCCGAGGGACTGAGTCCTGGTGCCAGGATCTTGGGTTGGGCTGACTTGAAAGCTGCAAGCCTGTCTGCCTTTCCAGAGATAGGAAGAGAAGGTCCTGTCTGCCTAGCCTGAGGCCCTCCAGGGGCTGCCTGCGCACAGCTGGCTCCAGTGTCCTGGCAACTGCAGCCCTGGGGACACCTAGGTGACAGTGGTTGCCACAGGCAGGCTCCTGAAAGATGCCAGGATCCGCCCCAGCCCTGGCCTCACAGTCAGTCATGAGGGGCCATATCTGAGTCGGGAAATCGGGCTCAGGGGCCCTGGCTGCTACCCTGTGGTCACAAGCACAGCCCCCTAAGTTTTCTGTCTTTGTTGAGTCAGGAGCCCTCTGAAGGGCCTGGATCTTTCTGTCCCCACAGGGGCAGGTGCTGGGCTCTGCGTGTTCTTTCCTGTGTCAAGAGTCCAGGAGGGGTGGCCTCAAGGTTGTCAGTGCAGGGGTTAAGGATGTCTACCCAGGGACTCTGATATCTTTTCTTTGAGGGAGGGTGACATGTTCTGGCAGGGACTGGCCAGGGGTGACATGACCAGGGAAATAGCTGGATCTGGTTATGGAAATTGGGCTGGGAGAGGTGGTCCTGAGAGTCAGAGGTAGACTCAGGAGCAGTGCCTGGACTGGACCAGCCCTGGGAAGGTGCATATCTTAGTTACTTTTCTCTTGTTGCTGAGACAAAATACCTGACCTACCCCCAAAGTTAAAGAGGGAAAGAGTTATTTAGCTCACAGTTTGTGGAGATTTCAGCCCGTAATTGGCTGGCTCCAAGGCAGAGTGGCACATGAGAGAGGAATGTCACAAAGGAGAAACAGTTCACGGTGGGCAGAAGGTAGCAAAGCAAGCAAGTCACCTTAACAGCTTCTTTCTGCCCCTTTTATATTCTATCTAGGCTACCAGGCTTATGGCATTGCCAAACCAATCAGTGGACTGATTTAGTAACCACACACCTCATTCAGTTACCTCTGAAAAAGCCCACCTATGACCACACGAGGCTTTGAGGGGAACATCTAGACACAAGCCATAACAGTGCAGTTCCTTCTTGTCTCATTCTGCCATGTGGCCACTCACCCTGAGGTAGGGTGGTCATCTGTACCCTCCTCTCATTCTGTGGCTTGCAAAGCTGTCTGTGAAACCTCTAACCCCTCAGGGTGCCTGGGGTTTGAGTGCAAGGAGGATGAGGCTGGGCATCTCCCACACAGCCCTCTCTCTGCCCTGAATCTCTGCCCTTCCCAAGGTGGTGGAGTCCTCTCTCCTCCTCAGCAAGCTTTTCCTGGTTCTGGGGATCCAGAGACCTCACACAGGATGCCCAGTGTGAGCTCACAGGACCCAGGAGGCATGGGGCAAACATCTGAGAGGGGATTCCTGGAAGGTTACTGGGGCTGGGGAATGGTATGGGTAGAGGCCTGGCTAGGTGCCCCTTGCTGTCCCTCACTCATCCTATAGCAGGTACCTGACAGAGCTTTCCCCTCCTGCTCCCATGTAGGTGGAGCCCCCCGAGCTACCAGAAGACCTGAAGCACTGGATCACCTACAATGAGGTCAGCAGCCGGCTGCTCCGTGCTGAGTGTGGGCTCAGCGAGGATATCAAAGACCAGTGACTGCTGCCTCCACCGCCCCCCACCTCGGCATCAGCCTGGGGGCTGTTGGTCACCTATCCAGCCTGTCAGTTGGACTATTCTGCAGAACAGATGTACCAGGCCAGGCTCCTATCTGCAGTGGCCTTGTAACAATCCAACCACCTTCACCTGCTTGATCCCCGCTGTGCTGGGCCCTACCTATGCTGTGCTGGGGATGGGGTAGCATGGGCACCTTAACCCAGCTCTGTGCCCTAGCTGGGGATAGATGGGCAAAGGGGGATTGGACAGGGACCAGGGCTGGCTCTGGGACCTGCATATGACTCAGGGACAGCAGAACTTCTGATTGGTCAGAGCAGACTTGCCACACAGCTCCCTGTGGCCTCTATGAGGGTGGGAAAGCCTGGAGAGAAATCAGGGACATCGGAGGCTGGGACTGGGGGAAGAAGCACTTGGAAGGAGGATTGACTAGTGCCTGAGCCACAGTCCTCAAGGTTCCTTTGTACAGAGTTGGCCTCTGCAGCCCCTTCTCCTGTCAGGCTGGGTGGGGCTGGGACTTTTGGCCAGGAGGGAATCACATGGCACCGGGGCTCCTGGGGGGGCAGTAGGCTTCCCCTGCTGAGGGCGCCCAAGTCAGGAAGGGCATACAGCTGGACAGGGGCTCAATCTGCCTGTGCCCATCAGGACTTCTGTGTGACCTCAGGCTAGACCCTGTCCTCTCTGGGCACCTCAGGCCTTTCACCCCCTGAAGTTGTGTCTGAGGCTGCCTCCCTGGATGGGAAGGGTCTTTTTGCCTTCTCTGTTTTACGGGCCCCTTGCTGTTGTCTGGCCAGGATCTGCCTGCAGCTGATCTCAGCACTCCCTGATGAGGATGCTGGGATGCTGGCTGGGGAACCTGGGCCTGGAGCAGTCCACCATTGCTGAGGACTGAAGGCCAAGTGGGGCCAGCCTGAGGCTCTGCCAGTGCTCCCAGCTCTCAGAGGGTGCCCTGCTAGCTGGGGCAAAGGCCAGGAGTCCTGCCTGGGGGTGCTCTTGCCTGCTCAGGGATGTTGCCTCTGCCTGTGCCCCTCCTTGTGCCCACTGCAGGGACTGCCCTGTAGCTCCAACCCAAGCTTAAGTGATGAGGCTCCTCATCCTCCTCTTGCCTTACATCTATACGGGAAAGCTGCAATCTTTGTTTTAAAGCACAAAATTAAAGAATTTTGAAGGTGCATGTGATAGAACGTCTTCATTTCTGAACCCTACCCACCCACAGCAGAGCCCATTCCTAGGAATGTTTTCTGTCAAAATTTGTGGGGTTTCCTTGGACATGGGGATCAGGTTAGCAGGGCAGGACTTGTCTCTGTCCCAAGGAGGAGGTATTGAGCCTGGAAAGGAGTGGCCCAAAGTCCCTGGCAAGCCTGCCCTGGCCCAGGATCTCTCCTTTGGAGTCCCAGGACAGGACAAGGACTGTGGGATCCTGGAGTCATGGGGCAGGGTGTGGTTGCAGTTGGGGCACAGGCTGATGACCTCGGTGACGGGAGGGGGGCTGAAAGCATAGGGGACATACTGCAGACCCTCCAGGTTGGGGCAGTGGGACCCCCGGGACAAGGTGGCAAGTTTGGTCACATAGCATAGGGGCTCCTGAAGGGGCAGTAGGCTTCCCTGCCCAGGCTCCATCCACCCAGCTCTGGGGGGACTGGGAAGGACATTGGTGAGATAAGTGGGCCTGGAGAGGGAAGGTACCTCACGAATGCTCACAGAGGTGCCTGTGGCTTAGGTAGTTTGCACTTGGGAAGGGTGACTGGAAGGCCCTGCCTTCCCACCTCTGGCCCTGGCACTTCTCCGAGCCCGTGGCACGTGGAGATCCACTGGGACCGTTTTTCTCTTCCTCTGAGGGTGAGGCTAGAAGGGTAAGGAGGCCAAGGGCGGAGCGCAGACGGAGTAAGAAAGTGCGGCTGAGGGTGGCAGGGGTCGGCGCTTAAAGACACGTTTCCTAGTGGGACTGCAGATGGCCCCAAAGGGCTGGGGGGACCTGGGGGTAGGGTCGGTGCTGTGAGGCTGCAAGATGAGGCGTTTAGGTCCCGCTAGGCACCATGCCAAGGTGCCTGGACTGGAAGGGCGACCCCAGACCCGGAGTTCTAGGTTTAGCAGCGGGACTGAGATGCGTCTGTCCGCGCGCATGCGCAGTGGGTAGGTGAGCCGACAACCGCGGGGCAAAGCTTTCCTGGTTCCTTGCTGCCCCCACAAGCCAGGCGTCTTAGCTTCGCTCGGGGTGGAGGTCGCAGCCTGGGAAGGGGGGCCGGGGTCCTCGCCGGCCTGCAGCACGCGGCCGAGGAGGGGTCCTTGCGGCCATGGAATGAGGACTCTAGCTCTGCGCCGCAGCTGCAGACGCAGTGTTCCGCCTCACCACCAGGTGGTGACATCTGCTCATTCAGTACCGTGAGGCTCCAAACCCAGGGCCAGTGGTCTCTGGAAATTCATCCATAAACCAGAGGGCCCGGGCTGGGAGAACTGCAGGCGGGGTGGGCCCAGGAGTGTGCTTTAAGGGAGACATGCCAGGCAGGGCCTGCTGCTAAGGATGGCGATTCCTGGGGAAAGGAGCTCACTTGGGGTGGCCTCTGGGTTTCGAGGAAGGAGGAGCTCTCACAGGGGTCCTGAGGGACCCTCCCCAACTTTCTGGTTACTCCCTGTGCCCGTCAGGTGTCCCAAGCCGGCCAGCTGATGCTTCACTACTGCCTTAGCTGCAGTAGGTAGTGGGAGGAACCCCGAGGACAAGCCCAGTGGCCTCTGACACCTGAGGTCCCAAGATCTGCTGGGCAGAATTCAGATAGTGTCTAGCCCCCAGCTAGGAACTGAGCTTGGGGAGGGGCATTAGGGTCCCCTGACTGTGCCCCATGGCAGGTAAAGCATGTGTGGAGGGAGAAGAAGGAGTCTGAAGGTCAGGTCTCCTTAAGGACCCCCATTCATGGGGCCCAGCCCCTGCAGACACACAGCTCCCTCTATCCTTTGCCTTTGGGGACAGCTCTGGACAGTGCCCACTGGAGTGCTGTGGGTCCATCATGGCAGGGAGCTAGCCCTGGCTTCAGGGCCTGGGAGACAAGCTGGCACTGGCGACAGTCTCATCTGCTTTCCCCAGCTGTCCTAAGGGGACAGGCAAGCTATTGCCAGAGGGGGTGACTAAGACCAATGGAGAGGCCAGTTGCCAGACAGGAAGCAGACAATCTGAGCCTCCCTGTGCCTCCTGCTCTTTGCCCTCCTCACTGCAGCTTCTTTAACATTGCCAGGCTAGGCAGAACCAGACAGCCCCACTCCTGGAGGAAACCAGATCCCAACTCTGAGCTTCTTTTCCACTCTGGGTGGAATGACCCCCAGAGTTTGAGGGGAGGTTCTGGGGTGGGGGATAAGGTTCCTGGAGCTAACAACAGGTCCTGGGCTGAGACGTGGGCTACGTTTCAGGAAAGGCAACCCAGGCAGCATTTGTGCCCGTCTCCCCATCTGAGAAATGGTTCCATTAGGCCCTGGATGAGAAGGAGGTTCAGGTGCCCAGAACTTTCCAGGATTCAGCCTAGCTGTCCTGAGGGCCAGCTCTGTGGGCTTTGAGGGACCAGGAAGGACAGAAGTTGTCTCCACCCATGGTTTATTTATTTTCTACAAGCTTAGGGGTAGAGTAAGCGGCCTGAGGCCCACGGACATCTGCTTACAGAAGTAGGCAGAAGGTGACCACAGGCACTGCCAGGCCCTATCCAAAGAGAAGGTGCCGAGGAGCATGACCCCCAGAGTGGCTAGAACCCAGCTACTTCCCCAGAGTTGCAGAGGTCACGGAAGCAGCAGAACACAGGATGGGCTGCTCCGATGCTGTCGGGGTCAGTGGCCAGGCAGGAGCTGGAACAGGAACGGGTCACCATGGGGCTCTGGTTGAAGGGGTACTCTGCAGGGTGGATGGATATCAGTGTCTGGTTTGCAGTTCTCCCAATGCTCCGGACCTCTACACCTTTAACTTTGCCCCTCCCACTTCCTCCAGCACCACCTGCATCTCCCATCCCAGTTCTTGTCCATGCCTGCACCCTGACTGTGACATGTTTATTAATAATAACACCAGTGCCTCCTGGAACAGTGGCAGTGCTGTGCCTAAGATGGGAGTCCCCTGTTCCTAGGCTGTGATAGCAGCCCCCACAAATCGACCTTGCCAGTCTGGGGCAGAGCTGGGGCTGGAGCCATCCACAGTGCCTGGTATGGGGTCCTTGAGAGGCTGTGCCTTCTACATGCAGGCACCCCCTCAGAGCTGGGGAAGCCCCAGCCCAGCCCTTCCTGTCCCCCCACCTCCCAGGCAAGGGGAGCAATCTTGGCCTGCCCTGGGGCCCAGCCTCACCTGACTCCACCTTCTCCAGGGTGGTCTTGCAGGCTGTGTCCTCCAGCTTGCAGTAAGTGATGTTCTTGCACAAATGAATGGGTGTGGGCCTGTCACAGGAGTAGCACCTGAAGGCCTCACCTGGACCAGGGGTGGGGGCAGAGCCTCATCACCTGGCCCCAGGGCTCTATTCTGGAGCAGTAGGAAGGAGCTGGAGGTGAGCTAATGAGATCCTTTAAGGTACGTTTGGCTGGCTGACATACTACTGCCCAAGCCTCAGTCTTGCTTCCTGGAGAATGGGGCCATGACTACTGACCCAGGGTGCAGTTCAGCTCTAGAATCCAGGAGGCTCAGAAAGAGCCTGAAGGATACCCTCCATCAAAGAACCCAGCAGCTCTCCCTCAAGGAGCTGTCACACTAGGCCCAGGGCAGGTCCCCCCCTTCTTGTCACTCACCACAGGCTGCCAAGAGCAGTAGCTGTATGGCCCAGTAGGAGGCCATTCCTGGTGTGCAGGAGCTGGGATCGGCTGGCCCCTTTTAAGGATTTATATCGGCCTTTGTAGCTCCTGCTCTTGGGCGTTGGTGGCAGAACCTGTGTGACTCAGTAGGGTGGCCTGGTGCAGAGGGGCGAGGGCCACCGGGACTGTGGGTGGTGCCATGTCATGGCGGGAACTGTGTTGCTCAAAGGCCTTCAGAAGTAGGATCCCTATGCAGCCACCCTGGGAGCCCAGTGTGAGGACCAAGGCCCTCTTCTCAGCTGGCTTACCTCCGTCACAGGGGCCTCACTGCTCCCCAGACACCCCATCTTCCGAGGATAGCTCTGCTAAGGAGGCTCTCCACCTGAATGAGGCAGACCCTCTGGCAAGCCCCCTCACACCCTGGCTCTTCTTCCTTGGGCTTCCCAAAGGTCACATGGCTCCAGTCTTGGGGCCCTCAAGACCCAAGTGCAGGGAGTCACCTGGCGCCAGGGACCAAAGCTAGTCTCCTGCATACTGAGAGACTCCGTCCACCTGGTCTTCACCCACACACACCAACAAAACTGAGGCCAGGCCAATGTTGGAAAAGGTTAGCCTGAGGAAGTAGGGTAGCTGGGGGTGCTGTGACCTCTCATCATGGCCAGCCCCTCCTGCTAATGGTCTTTAGTGTGAGCTGCTTGGTTTTAGACCCTTAATGACAAGGCACTGCCTAACCCCTGCCCCCATGGCCTGACAATTTTTCTGACCTTCTCTCTCGCTGCACACCATCCCACACACATGCCTTTTCCTGTGCTAAGCCCCTCACAGTGTAGACAGTCTTGTCTCCCATCCAGTGCCTCAGATGCAGCCTCAGATCTTCCCCACCCAGGTGCTCCTCCTCCACAGTCCTTCCCAGATCAGTCTCTTTGGTGTCTCTGTTTTCCAAAGTCCTGATGGGTAGTTTTATGGCTGGATAGATGGGTAGGTTGGATGGATGGTTGGATTGATAGGTGGAAAGATAAATGGATGGGTAGACGGATGGAGAATGATGTCTGGATGGACAGTATCTGAAAGAGTGGATAAGTGGGGCTGGGGATTTAGCTCAGTGGTTCCGCCATCTGCCTCGCAAGCTCTAGGTCCCAAGTTCAATCCCCAGAACAACAACAACAACAAAAGAGTGGGTAAGTGTGGTGAGGAATGAATGGATGAGAGAACTATAGGTGGATGGAGGGTGGATGAATGGATGGATGGACAGAGGAAGGGATAGGTGGCTAGAAGAGTGGGGTAGATGTGTGGATGAATAGATCAATGGACAGCCTGAGTGGGCTCTGTGGAGGGCTGGCGAGTGGGCCGGGCTCTGGCATAGAAGGGTCACACTCTGATCTTGAGGCTGGATGAGATGCTGGGAGGACCCTGCCTGGCACCTAGGAGGCCCACATTTTTCTCTTGGCCTTGCAGCTCTCCAGGTATGGTCTTGGGCTGGTCCCCTTGTCTCTCCAGACTTTTCCCGTCTGTATGTTGCAAGGGTGGAAGTGACCTGGCTTTGTGGGCTGGGGCAAGTTATACAAATCTTGGTGAGAAAGCAAAGGAAGGGCGGAGTTTGCAAAGGGAGAGCCTTGGCCGCATACAGGGCGGTGCGAGAACAACATTGGGGTGGTTCACCCCTGGAGCTCGATCCACAGACATGTCCAGACATTAGGGGAGGAGCCAGAGAGTGCCTGCTTTCACAGGGAAGTAGCCTGAGCCCAGTCCTGGTTCCATCTGGCCTCCCATGTGACCCCATTATATTCATGAGGCTCTTAGGCTGGTCTCCCTTTCTCTTATTTGTAATCTGGGTAGAGGAATATCTGCCCCCAGAGGATCACTGAAAACTAGCAAGTGGCACTGTAAGCTCCCTGCAGCTCACAGAGCAAATGCACTTAGAGCATGGGGGCTCCAAAGTGGCTGTGCTCCTGAGTGTGGAGGACAGAGACACTGGTGTGTTTCTAGTTGAGGCTGCCTAGAAGGGGCCGCTTGCCCTGGATTTGAAAAGGAGGGAAGTCCTCAGAATCCAGGAGGCAGGGAGGGTGCTGGGTGGAGTAGCCCAGGAGAGGGTACGCATAGCCAGTCCTCTTGCAGGCAGAACGGCAGCACCTCAGCCCATCTCTGAGCCCGGCATCTAATCACCAGATATAAAAGCAGCACCATGTCTAGATCAGATAGCACCAGTCAGTGCAGGATTTATGCCCCAGTTGGACAGCTGCTCTACTCTCCTCCCACCTGTCTGTGAGTCCATGGCCTCCCTACAGGACCCAGGTGTGGAACCAGGAGACTAGATTTGAGCCCAGTGTGTGTGACACAGAGGGGCAGCTCACCTCACTGAGTCTGAGAGTCCTTGTCTAAGCCCTGCAGCTGGGGAAAGGGTTATTCCAGACCCAGGTGAGCCCTGGCCCTGCCAGTTATGTGTGGTGTGGCTGTTGGCAAATCATTTCAATTTTCTGAGCCCATGTCTAATCTGTAAACTGGGATGATGATTGTTTTTATTCCTCGGGGTTGCTAGGCAGCAGACACGAGGGGATATATATAAAAACTGCCCAAGCCATGCAAGACTGCCAGTAGAAATGGACAGAAGCTCTGGTGGGGTGCCCTTAAGTCCTGTCTCCTGCTGCCTGACCATCATGGGGGCACAGAAACTTCAGAGTCCTCTAAGCCTGGCCAAGCACCGAAGCAACCTCAAGATGGAGCCACGCCTGTTCCCTCCTCTGCAGCTGGCCATTGCCCAACTCCCATGAGCCCCTTTTTTCTACCAGGTCATCTTGTCAGTCTCTAGGAGCTTGTTTCACCTTTCTTGGCCACCCCTTCCACTCAGAGGCAATGATGGTTAAAATGCCCAGAAACCCCTCCTTAGCTCTCAGTTGCTTTCAGGATACAATTAAAGGCCTAAGCCTACCATGGCACTGGATGCCTGCCCCACCCTTCCGGGACTAATGCTTGGGTCAGATGGCATTTCCATTCCTGTAAGTCTCCTTCATCTAAGCCTGGCAGTGCTAACTATTGAGCAGCATTGGCTGGTAGATGGAGGGACGGATGGGTGGATAGGTGCATGGATGGTTGAGTGAAGACGGGATGGGTGGGATGGGTGGGTAGATGAATGGATATCAATGGATGAGATAGGTGAGTGGATACATGGTTGAACAAATATAAGGATAAATGGGATGACGGGTGGACAGATGATAAGATGGAGGATATATAGGATGGGTAGGTGGATGGGTGGATAATGTATGGGTGGATGAATGGGAGGATGAGTGAGCAGATAGATGAAAAGATGTAGGATGAGTGGGTGATGGATGGACAAAAGAGCAGATGGATGGATGGTGGGATTAGAAGTATCTGGGTAGTTGAAGACATGGGATTGATGTTTCTTTCAAGGAGATCCAGGACAGTGCTGGCTGTGGCCCAGACTAAACTCAAATTAACCTTTCCTCAGGGTAAAAATGTCATGTGGCCTCTCTGACAGAACTAATTAGCACAGGCTTGGATACCCCTGGGGTTGGCAAGCTCATTTCCTTCTTGGGGAATCCCCTACCCTTCTAAACAGATCTCTCAGCCCTCGTCCCTTTGAGGTCAAATTTGCCCCTATGACACCCCTGACTCCTGGCCCTGGCCCTGAGTCCAGGCTGCAGAGCCAGACATATCTTACCACCATGAACAACAGCTAACTGGGAGGGTGGGGACAAGGGGAAAAAATGAGAACCAAGACCTGGCATGTAAAGGTACAAGATCCCAGTAATGAATGTAACTGTACTGTCTACCTAGAATGTACCAATAAATTCAATTAAAAAAAAAAACAAAAAAACAACAGCTAACTGAGTTAAGTTCCTGTGTGACTTGACCTGTGGAGCCTGAGGTTTTGGGCCACAGACAGGTACTGAACGACTCTCTTGGGTCTGACTGCTGACTAGACAAAGGGCTGGGGTGAGGAGGGAAGAGGCCGGGAGATAGGAGGTAACTGCCGGAGCCACCCAGGAAGACTGGATGAGGGCTTGAGCAAGGGCTGCCAGTGGACACAGTGGGAGGAAGAGTCCAGCTGCAGGTTAGTAATGCTGTTGCTGAGGAGTGCTGGCCATAGCTGAGCTCCAGAAGGCACATGATCATCCTCCTCAACAAGATGGCCGCCTCCTCTTCCCACACTAGGATAGAATGCTGGGTCCCCTGAGACAGGAAGAGAGTTGTGGAGACCCTGGGGACAGCAAGGTGGGCTCCTTGTTGCTCTTAGAAGCTAGTGCTGGTTCCTGGCACATGTCCAGACTTGCCATGTAGGTTTAGGGCTCCCTCCTGGGGGTACTGAGGCAGGGTGCTCATCCCTGGGCTGGGAGGTCGTGTCTGCCAACTCAAGTGAGGATCTCTTTGCTGCTCAGGACAAGAGAAAGGCCAGAGAACAGAGAGATCAGTCCTGATTTCAGGAATAGAGGTGAAAGGTGCTGGAGCTGATTGGTTCCAGGAAAGGAGGAGAGTCCACCTCATCGACCAGCCCAGGGGTCTGAGTGGCCTAAACCACCAGATGCCAGACTCAGCTCTTCCTGCTCCTGGCTTCTTTTCCAGTCCAAATTTGGATCCACTGGCTTCTTTCTTCCCCATCAGACTAAATCCTGCCCTATTTCCTACTGGCCATGGGATTATGTGGGCCTCCACATAGGTGGAGTCCTGGTTCAGGTTGGGACCTTGCCCAAACATCACTTTCTGCCTTACTTCCCCACCAGTGAGGCTCAAGGCCTCAGGCTGAAGCAGTTCCGGGACAGGACAAGATTCCCAAAAGGGAGGCTCATAGTCCGTGAGCCTGAGATCAAGGATAGAGCTCTAAAGCTTGGTCCTAAAGCCTCACACATAGCCTGTGCCAGGATGTATACCACCAACTGAACCCCTTCCCTTGTCACACACTGAGCCTTTACCCTGGTTATAGATTAAACCTTATCCTTGGTTCTGGACTGAGCTCTGCTCCTCGGTCTTAGACAGAGCCCTGATCTTGATCATACACTGAGGCCTGATTGATAGTCACAGGTGGGCCTGGTCTCCAGTGCTGGTGGAGTGAGTGCATGTGTATTGTAAGGGTGTGATGTGATGAGAGGACCACATCTCCCTCTTGACAAAGTCGAAGCTCAGAGTTACAGCTCCACCTGGAAGGACTCAAACCACCACTAGACACCCCAGCCTCCCAGGTACCCCCATTCTGGGAGGATGCTGCTGTTCTGTCCCCAGGAACCTCCAGACAGATGGTGGCCACACTTGCAGTTACTTGTGCTCTAAGGCTGGTGTGGTACTCACTGGGTAGTGGAAACTCCCCCCTCCACCTCCGAGCTGGTCCATGATTGTAGAGCCGTACAGGCATCAGGTCTTGCCCATGGGGGGCAGAAGTGGGAAACTCCTGAGTCCCAGAGACTGCGGGGCCCCCTGGTTTCTTCCTCCAAGCAAAGGGGCATCCTCTGTGGCCATGGGACCCTCACCCCACAGAGCTTCCCTCTATCCAGGAGCAGGAAGCCCTTGGAGGGAGCGATGCTGAGGGGCAGGGGCCATGCAAGGAGGAAGGAGGCCTAATCCATCTCACCTTGGCTGGAGACCTGCTCACACAGGGGCCTGGAACAGGGAGGGGAGATGGGGCAGGGTTGGCTGAGGTCTGCAGGCTTGGAGAGGAGAGGCAGATGCCAGGGGGTCCTGGCAAGCAATCTTCTTCTGGGTTCCACCTCTGCCCAGGGTACAAGGGCAGAGATCTGACTGGTCTGTGCATCTGTCTAGTCCTGGGGACTCTCTTTGCTAATGGGGCAGTGCTTAACCCCATCCCAGGAGATAGGAGAGACAGACAAAGGAGACAGGCCTGAATCAGCCAGCCAGTGCAGATTTGTGCCCAGAAAGGAGACTCAGGAGACTGATGCAAGAGGCCCTGCACTTCTTCAAGGCATCTGAGGGGTGGGGTGGGGTGGGAGGCAGTGGTGCAGGCTGGCTTAGAGCTCAAGGCCCATGAGGTGGGCAACAGAAAGGGCAAAGGCAAGGGCCAGGCTGTGAGCACCACTCAGGGCAGGTGCCCTGTCCACGTTGCACAGGTCAGTATTGCAGCAGGAAACAGGTCGGGTCTGTCCGATGCCATCCACATCCGAGGGCTCACACTTGCTGGAGCAGGACTTGGTCACTGTGGAGTCCCCCAGGAAGGGGAACACTGTGGGCACAAGAGTGCCAGCTGTAAGGGCTGGTTCTTTTCTGTCTCTAAGCCCCAAGCCCCAGGGCCACCTGCTTTGGATCACCCATCCCAGAGGCCTCAGCTCCCCCATGCTGAGAGCCTGTAATGTGCCAAGGACATGTGAGGTTTCTTGCCCTGGGGTTCCTTGCTTGATAGGTGATTTCCACCCAATGCAGTTAAAACCAAGCTGTAAGTAATCCACCCTTCCTGGTGACTCCCAACCATGCTGAAGGGCCCTTCCACTAAAAGGGAAGGAGGGAGGAGAAGGGACAGGGCAGTGAGGCTAAGCACTGGGCAAGACAACCTTTACTTGGAAGTGGGTGGGATGGTGGCTGCACTCTGTGGGAGTCCCAGAAGGCCAGGCCCTGACTCCGGTCACCCAGTGCCTACTGACCAATCTCCAAGGAGTACAGCGTGGTCTTGCACATGGTTTCGTTGGCATTGCATTCGGAGATGACGATGCAGCTGGCTACGCCCGTGGGTTCATGACAGGTGTAGCACTGCAAGGCCAACACTAAGAGAGTGATGAGGGGCGGGTGGGTCAGGTGCCTCTCTCAGCCAGAGACATCCAGAGTCTGCGAATGATCATTACCCTGTCCCAGAGGCCCCAGTCTGAAGGGACAGCGACACTAGCCAGCTTAACAAAGGCATCTTCTCCCCAGGGGTGGGATGCTGGTGGGCAGAGCCTTAACTACCGGGCCCCAGAAGCATGCCTGACTCCCACCTAGCCCAAGCTGTTCAGGCACACAAATTCGAACACAGCCTGGGAAATTTAGTGACTTAGAGAGAACCGGTCTCAAAATTAAAATAACCAGAGTGGGGGTTGCTGGGAATGTAGCTTAGTGTGAAAGCCCTGAGTTCAATCCCCAGTACCTCCAAAACAAACACCAGAAACGCTTCCAGGCCAGCCTGGTCCGGTACCTGGGTGGTGGCTGCCTTCCTGCTGTCAGGAGGCCCAGGCCCCAGTCCAGCGCTGGCTGTGCTGCTCTCCCTTTCTTCCCTCCTTAGGCCTGGTGAGTCGGAGGCTGTTCCCCCAGCTCTGCCCTCTGCCCCTCCAAGACCTCCCCGTGGACAGGTGGATGTTAGGTGGAGACTGCTGGGGAGGTAGACCCTGCTCACAACACAAGTCTCTGACCCCACTGCTCCCAGCGCCCCTCACCCCTTGCCCCTTAGCCCTCACCGAGCTCCCCGTGGGCGGCCAAGGCCAGAACCAGCAACACCAGCCACATCCTCTGCGTGGTTGGGATCCTTGTTCTCTGCTTGCCAGGCTGAACGCCAAGTGCGGTGGTCCAACAGGTCGGCTGAGGGGATTAGTGAGATCTTGTTTCCCCAGGGCGGGGGTGCAGAGGCCCCGCCCACCCCTAGAGCCCCTCCCCTCCTTTTAAACAGTCTGTCTTCCAGGCTTGTGGCTGCTTCCTGACCACCCAGGTCCACCCCTCCTCCCTGTCCTTCCTCATTCTTACCCAAGCTGGGGCCTGACCCTTCCTCCCCGGCCTGGGCCCACACCCTCTACACCTGGCACCCTCCCCTGGGCAACTCCTTTCTGGGGACCCTCCCTGACTCCTCACTCCCTCAGCTTCCTCTTCCCTCTGCTTGGGTCCTGGCTCGGCCTGCCCGGAAGGAGGAGGGGAGAGTGGGGGCTCTCTGCTAGACTCCTGTGCAAGTCTTCCTCCCCCGTGAGTCCCTACAGGGTGGATTCATGGTCCACAGCCATGGGTTGAAATCTCCCCAGAAAGACCTTGCCTCCCTGCTCCTTTGAAGTGATTAGTGCAGAGGGGAGGTTGTTGTCTCTCTCCTGCAGCACAGAGTTTGTTCAGAGGCTTAAGGAACAAAGAGAGAAGACTGTTAGGCCAACAGGAAAGGACAAGGCTGGAAGTTGAGATGTGGAGAGTCGGGGGTCCCCTTGGGAACACTAATCCCATTGTTTCCTGGAGGCCAGCCCTACCCTGCTCACCAGCACACACGGGTCTGGGGCAGCCTCAGGAAGGACTTTTCTGGCCTGATTGCTGGTAAGAAAATTGAGAGAGGTTCCTTGCCCTTGGGAAAGAGTTGAATTTGGGTGCTGACTCCTGGCAGGCCTGCTGTGGCTTCCCCCTGCCTATGTGCACCCCACACTACCTGATCACCCCTGCTCAATCCTCCCTAATGGTCAGGCCACAGTCTCATTGGGCTGGCTCAATTCCCATGGGGTCCAGGTGTCGAAATCTCACTCCTGGGCTTTGCTCCTGCTCCCCTGACTGCTAGGAATGCCCCTCCCTCCTGCCCCTCCAGCTTTGTGGACACCCTGTGCCCCCTTCATGGCCCCTAGGCTTCCTTGCTGGGTCTTTACCACTGGCATGGGCTGAACTCTTGTCTTCCTGAGTGGCTGGGCAGGGCCAAGAGTGCTTCTGGGTGATGTGTGGGGCCCAGGCTTCCACCATACCCAGCATGAGTCAGAGAAGGCCTACTAGATCTTATTTTTCCTCACAACTCTGGAGGGTCACAGACTAATGAGTTTAGTTTGGATGAAGAAACTGGATCCAAGAAGCTAATTGGGTTAGGCAGGTCGCCTAGCGAGCCTGCAGCAGCCCAAGCCTGTCTGATTTTGCACATCCATCACCAGGCAGCCATGCTGCAATCCTGCAGTCAGCAGGATGCGCTGCAGCTGCCTGGATGGAACACCCCACACACCCAGTTGTCTCACAGGGCTAGCCCAGTTTCCTGTATCGTTGCTGGGTTCCTTCCTGTCCTCGGGCCCAGCGTTCCACCTGTGCCTTTCACCCAAGCACGTGCCCAGCCTCCAGGTGTGGGCTTCTCCTGGAGTTTCCATCTGACCCTCGCTAGGGAGACCCAGGCTGTGCTTTCTGGCAAGTGGCAGCTTCCTGCTTGGGCTGGGGAGGAATATGGCCCTGCCAGGGTTTGGGCTGGCTCCATCTGGGAGACCCACACCCTTCCCAGATCAGTTCCTCAGGGATCTCTAGGGCAGGGCTCAGAGTTGAGACATGGGTTAGGGCTCAGAGTGTGATCAGGATCAAGGTTTAGCCTGTGACCAGGGAGAACCAGCACTGGGGTTGTGAGTCTGCCTGGAACATGCTGACCTCCGAACTGACCCTTGAACTGTGACACCAGGATCAGACACCACTCTCATATTGTGTGCTGGGATTCCTTGGGTGGAGTCCCTGTCCAGACTTTGTTCGGACCCTCCCTAGGTCAGGGTGAAGGTTCATCTCTGTCAGGAAGGAGGATGGTAGGCCCTTGGGGAGGGGAGGCCACCCCTGCTCCAGAGCTGTTTCTGCTGACAGTTCAGTGAGTTGGAGAGTGCCCAGTGTGGAGGGGTACAGATACATGGTCCCCAGTGTCCTCTGCCACCCAGTGTCCCATGGTCTGTGGTCCTCCAGTGTCCCATATCTCTCCTTGCCCCACTGTCATTCAATGTCCTGTGGTTACTCTGTACCCCCGTCACCCATACCTGTCACAGTCTGTGGGCCAGAGTCTGAGCAGAGCTTTGTTCCACCCCAGGGTGGGGTCCAGCTAGTCCAGTGTTGACTGGCCTATATCATCAGGGGGCTCCATGAGGGGTGTTATGGTCAAAGCAGGGGTCGTTTCTTGCTACATCTGAGAAACCTCATCCTATTCTAACTTGAGTACTCAGACTCCTGTGGTGGGAGCTAGCGACCTCCACCCATGGCTCAAGATTTACATTGAACACAACCACTCTCAACCCGTGCAATGCCTGCTGGGAGTGTTGCTTCCCTGACTGTCCACACTGTCCTCTCCAGACGGCCCGGATGCTTCCTCCTGTGGCCAGTCTCCACTTTGGGAAGGTCAGGGTGTCCTTGTAGGGGTTCCTGGCTGTTCGGTCCACTCTAAGGAACATCCTGCAGAGCAGAACACTGGCTCTCAAGCTGAGGTTTCTATATCTGAAGGAAGCAGGCCGGCCCTCGTAATGTTTGTCCTATCCTCTGGCACATGGTACCAAACAGCCTCGCTTCTGTACATGCGTGTCAGCTGCACACAGCACTACACACAGCATCACACATCTGAGAGCCTGTTCTTCGCATCCTCCAGCCATGTACTGGGGTTGGTTCTGGGAGGGTGGTGCTGTGTAAATTGAAGCATCCTCCTGGGGCTCACTGTCCCTGGGACTGTGCTCCTCCTCCACCATGGCCATTGCTTCACTTCCAAGGAGATACAACGGCAAATACATAACCATGATTTATTGCTGATTGTCCCTGGCTACCCAGCACTCTTCAATAGTAACTACTATGTTAGTTTTCTTCAATACTAAGCAGCTCCAAAACCCTGGCCTCAGAATCCTAAACTCTTTCATCAGGACCTCACCTCCAGCCAGATTCCTAGATCCTACCAGCCCCAGGGGTCTGGGGCTCACTTTGGTAGCCATGGTTGGACCTAACATTAGGCGCACTTCGGAGCTCTTCGGTGCCGTGTTCCTGCATGGAGGTGTTGCCCGGTCCTTTCTCAGTGCTCTGTATCTCCTTGGTGTGTGGATTTGGAAAGCACTCGCTGTCTCTGATCCTGAGTGCTGTGGCTTTCCTCCTTTTCCTCCTTTCCTCCTGGCTTAGCCACCCAGGAGTCTTTATCTTTGACCTTGCTGTGTGAGTCTTTGCCTATTTCCTGCAGGTGCCACCTTCCTGGGGACCTGTGCCTTTTACACAAGGAACGTTGCATTCTTCTCCACACATATGGTAAATGTTTCCTACTCTGTCAATTTCCTTTTAGTTTTGTGTATGGTATTTTCTTTCTTTCTTTCTTTCTTTCTTTCTTTCTTTCTTTCTTTCTTTCTTTCTTTCTTTCTTTCTTTCTTTCTTATTTTTGCTTTTGTTTTTATAAGACAGGGTCTTGCTATATAGTCCAGGCTGGCCTTAAACTCACCATGCATTTTCTTTCTCTTTCTTTCTTTCTTATTTTTGCTTTTGTTTTTATAAGACAGGGTCTTGCTATATAGTCCAGGCTGGCCTTAAACTCACCATGCAGCCCCAGGCTGGCCTCAAATTCACAGCAATCCTCTTGCCTCAGCCTCCTGAGTGCTGGGATTACTTTTCATATGTGTTTTTAAAAAGATGTTTATGTAGTCATTTATGAATCTTTCTCAGTCTGGATTTTGTATCTTGTTTGTCTTTTTCTTTTAAATTTTTTTCATCTCTATTGAATGTACTTCAGATGCTGCGCAGCTCATCCATTTAAAGAGTATAATTTGGCAGCTTTTAGTTTATTCACAGACATATGGAAACATTTCCAGGCAGGGTAGCCTTTTCATCATCTCAGAGAGAAACTCAGTGCCCTTTAACCATAGCCCCAGTTCCTCTAATCCTGTGGCACTGTGAAGTATGTATTTGGTCTTTGTCCCAGTTTCTCAGCACACACCTCTTAAAATTCTTGGAATTGAGCTGGGCATGGTGGCACATAGTTGTAATCCCAGTACTCGAAGGCTGAGGCAGGAAGATTGGAAATTCAAGCCCAGCACAGGGAACGTAGCAATTTATCAAGAACGTGTCTCAAAATAAAAAATTTTAAAAAGGGCCAGGGATGTAACTCAGGGCCTGAATTCAATCTGCAGCACTGGAAAAGCAACAAACCAAACGGAAACAAAACTGCTCTCAGAATCTCTAGAGCAATGTCTTTTGCGAGCTAGGGGCTTATGGGAAATCACTGCATAATGAGGGGGTGGGGCTTTCAGCTAACCCCCTAGCCTCCTCCTGGGAGGGGAGAGGGGCTGAAGGTTGATTTGCTCACCAGTGACCAATGATGTGATCAATCATGTCCACGAAGTAGAACCTCCATAAACTCCCAAAAGAACAGGATTCAAGGAGCTGCCTTCCCACGCTGGGTGGAGGGGTTTTCTTGGAGGGTTGCATGCCCACGGAGGGCATGGGAGCTCTGTGTCCCCTCCCACACATCTCATCTGTGCATCTTGCCTGCTGACAGTCTTCGGTATCCTTTGTCACTTCCCAGAGAATAAGAGGGAAACGTAAGCAAAGCACATCCCAAGTTCTGCAAGCCAGTCCACCTAAGTAAATGCCAAGATGGGTCGGTGAGAAGTGTGGGCCACACTGGGAGCTGGACTTGGCATCCCAGTGGGGCCATGGTGGGTCTCACACTTTCTCCAGGTGAACAGTGGAAGAATTAAGTTGAATTAGAGGAGGCCCAGCTGGTGTTTGCTGCAGGATTGCTTGGTTGCCAGTGTAAAAGTTGAGCCCAAGAGAAAATGGTTCTTTTCAGACTTGGGCAAAGATAACAGTATGGAAGTAATGGGGGGAGAGTCACCTGTAATTCTGTATCCACCAACTAAACACTGTCTCGAGGACGTCCCAAAAGCCCCGGAAGAGGGTTCTTATTCTACACACACCCCACACTTTGCATGTGCACACACAGCTTTCTGTAACAAAGTTTATCTTCCACCAGAACTCAGCAAAATAGCTACATCACTGACCTGACACCAAGTCCTGCCTCACTGGTGTCTGGAAGACCAAGAGCTGGTATGTAAGCCCTGGTCACGAATTTCTCCATGTTCCCTTTAAAAACTCCTCTGGCCTCACCATCTATGAATATGCCTGTGGTTTGCTATGGCACACACATTAGAACTCTGTTACTCCCAAATAAATATCATTACTTTTTGGAGCCCCCCACCCCGCCCTCTCTCCTAGATGAGAAAGAGAAAGCCACCTGTGTTTTGGTGTTTTGTTTAGAGGTGAAACAGTACTGAGCAGTGTAAGCAGGAACTGCATTTAATTTTCCCCATCTCTTAGGAACTCCCCATGAGACCTGAGTAGCCACTAATCTATTTCCAGTTTATCTGGATTTCCTCTCCCTGCCATTTCACACATAGGGTATGTGCTCTTTTCTGTCTGGGTTCTTTCAGTTGGCAAGATGTTCTCACATGTCACCCATGTTGCGGCACATGTGTGAGCCTCATTCCTTCATACAGTTGAATAACATCCTGCGGTCTACTTAGATCATCTTTTGTCTGTCCGTTCATCAGTTGATGGACATCTGTTTTTTTCCATCTTTTGGCTGCTCTGAATATCACGGCTATGAACATTTGTGACCCAGTTTCCCTGTGGGTAAGTTTCCACTTTTCTTGGGCGTATATGCCTAGGGGCACCGTTGCTGGGTCACATGGTAACTCTGGGTTTAATGGGCTGAATAAGTGCTTAATTGCTTATGAGACTAGAAAAGCAAGTTTGAGAAATGAGTCTTATTTTTCTCTTCTAGTTGTCTAGCATTTCAATAATTTCTTTCTTTTTACATTTAAATCTCTGATTGCACTGAAATGCCTGTGACTTAGCGAGAGGTCAAAATGGGCTGGCCAGCTAAGCTGTCAAGGTGACCGCTGTCCTGAGTCTACCAATTGTGTCTCCACACTTCTGCATTGCCCGCGTGTCCAGCTGTCTGTCTCTCTTGGTCTAGGATGACGTTGTTTGTTGGATCACTCTCTGCTTGGGGCACCCCTTTCTCATAGGAATTGGCCTCTTCTTATTTATTTTCACAAGAACTTGGAGCAGGAAGAACCAGAAAGCCCCTGGAGGGCCAGGGTGTGGATCTTGACAGGTGCTGACATGTCAAGGAGGAGCCTGTGTAGTATAGTTGCTGACATGCATCAATGTCTCTGAAACCAGGAGCCTGAAACAGCCCAGGGTCTGGCTAGGAGCCAGTGGGTAAATAAAGGGAGTAATTTCCACAAACATCAGCTCACAAAACTCCCTGTGTCCACCCTGAGAAAAATGATCACAGCTGTCATGAAAGCTTTGTCATCTGCCTCAGCACACTGTCTAGTGGCCTGTGGGCCAGCACAGTGACTGCAAGAGCTGGAGGCGGTGTCTGTGCTCATGGCAGGCACCCAGAGTATGGGAGGATGGGCCAGGCTCCCTGGGAAGCAGGTGAGAGGAGCAGGGCAAACACACAGGAGAGCTGGCACTGAAGCGGGGGAAAGGAGGTGGCAGTTTTCCAGCAGTCCACCAAGGCAGGTTACAGAGAGGGGTACCCCAGGCTTCAACCCTCCTTCTTCAGCTCCTGGCCCTCCCCTCCTTGGCCAGTTTGAGCTGAGGGTCCTGAGCCCATGTGTGGCCCCTACACCTTTCAGGCCTTGAGCCTGGCTGGGGGCTGGAAGGGCTGGCAGTGGGTGAAGGTGGGTTGGGAGGAAGTTTGGGAGTGATTGGGGTGATGAGGCCATAACTGGAAAGAGGTGGTAAGGGTAAGGTGTTGCCTGAACTGGCTGTCCTGTGGCCCATGCCTAGTGTGACCTTTCCTCTCACTGGACAGCTCATGCCATATGAGTTGGTCACATTTTATTGGGGCAGTTGTCAGGAATGGGAAGGTATCTTGCAGGGAGGGCTTCCAGCTTATACTGAGGTGGATGTGGGCAAGACTTCATAAAGAAGTGTGGGTTTGGAGCCATGTGAGCTGGCCTGGCTGTGAGGGACTTCAGGGCCAGGCCTGGCTGAGGAAGAGGCATTGTCAGGCTGGCTGGAAGTGGAGGAGTTGCTCAGTCATGGTTGCAGAGACTGGACTGGCAGCAGGCAACAGACACGTGTGGACCCAAGCCCAGGCTGGAGACTTCAGGGCAGCCTCTGTAGCACATCTTGGTTACCAGAGGCAGGTCTGTAAAGCTGATAGGGGTCCCTAGGGGGTAGGAGAGAAGCCACAGATGTCTTTGAGGCTCTGAGCCACCCAAACCCCCTTGTCCCACCTGCCATGGAGCTGAGGGCCACCCCCAGGCAATCAGGCATATGAACCACCAGGGAGTACTTTCTGGCTTTCACAAGGACACTGCCTAGGGTGGAGGGTGGTGTCAGACTGCGAAACAGAAGGACAAAGTTGCATGGGCCACCAGAGGGCACATGTAGCCCTTACCTGGGCCCTGCACCCCCCAACCCAGATCTTCTGAGTGGGGCAAGAAGAGTATGGCCAGTCCATCTGCCCACTGCACTCACGTGTGGCAATAGTGACGCAGTGTGTGGCGCTTCCTGAACAGCTGAACACATGGGAACATCCTCCAAAGCCTTTGCACCGGTGGCACTGCATCCCCTGGGCTGTAGCTACAGGTGGGGACAGACAATGGCACAGAGCAAGTAGGTGGAAACTCTTGCAAGCCCAGTACCCACCCACTACCCAGAGCCCACTCTTGTTTATAGCCTGGCCCCTCCACTCTATGACCCAGCTTCTCAGTCCATCTAGATGTTGGGGTGTGTGTGTGTGAGGGGGAGATAACCACCATGTACCAAGCCTCAGGTGAGGCCAGGCCAGACCCTGGCGTTCAGCCCTGTTGTCACTGGGCACAAGTGACCATTTTGGGGCCAACTGGGCTGTATCCCTTTGCCCAGGATGCCATGTGCTAGAAGGAGTAGGGTGAAACCCTCACAGGAGTGGAGGGATGCAGCCTGGGCTTTAGGTGGAACTGGGGTGGCAGGGGTTGGGAGGTGGCCATGCCCACTTCCACCTTTAGACCCTATATTACACCCTGGGCCTCCATTCTGGGGCTGAGATGATGGGGCCTTTTCCCCCTTTGCAGAAACCAGGGCCAGGTTGACCAAAAGGAGTGCAGGACACAGGGTAAGTTCAAATTTGCCTTTTTTCTGCCCAGTAAGTATCTTTTTCCCCAGTCCTGTTCTCAGCCTTGGGCCCTACCCTGCTCCCCAGCCCCACTCCATCCTCCACCCACTGTCTCTCTTGCACCCTGGCTCTCTCCCCTTGGTGCTAGCCTCAACTCCTGCCTCAAGTTCATGTGTACAGGAGAGCCCCTGGTCCTGCCCAGCCTGGTGCTCCCAGGGTATGCTGGAGCCTGCAGAGGACGCTGGCCCTGCCTGACCTCCTCAAGCTGTACTAAGGACACCTAGTCAGGTACCCCCTCAGTGGGCCTGCACATAGTATCCTGTTTGGGGACTGGGCTCCTCCTAGTTCCCGAGGGCCACAGCATCTCACTCTCAGCACTGCCTCCAGGTGCAGAGGCCCGTGTCAGCCCTGAGGCTATGCGCTTTTGCAGCAGGTGACAGGAAACCTTGACCATGGCAGGACCCTTTGCCATAAGCCTTGGCTGTCTGCCACTCCTGTAAGAGGGAGCTGGGGCCTCATCTCAGTGGCCACAAAGCCCTCGCACTTTGTGCCCCACCACAACTGCCAAGCCACTGTGGCTGTCACATCAGGCCCAATGGTGGCTTGACAGGCTGGGCATGTCATTCCGGACACTGATGAATGAGCACAGCAGACAGGGGGAGTGGCAGTGCAGGGGATAGGCAGCTGGGACAACACAAAGCACAGGTAGGGCCAAAGAGAAGTTGCTCCTGCCTCCCACTGCCCTGCTCTGGGCATCCTCCCAGTACCTCCTGCCTTTGCACTGGCTGTTACTTCTGACTTCTGGGCAACATAAGCTCCAGCCCAAAGGCTATCTCCTCAGGCAAGCCTCTGGAGTATCTTGGCAGAGATCATAGCCTCCTTTGACATAGCCACCTCCAGCTGCAGGGTTCCTATGCCTCGTGACCATATCATCTTGCCCAGGGCTCCCTCCTGACACTGAGTCGGTAGGGTTCTGTTCCCACCCCTCTTGGTCCTCCCCAAACATAAATCAAACCAGAACTCTCCCCTGCACCAAATGAGGCTCAAGAGAGTTTTGTGGAAAGAATAAATGAGATAATTCTAGGGCTGGGGGTGAGGGCAACTCTGGGTTATCAAGAAAAGGAAGACTTCTTTTCCATATCCCATGCATTTGCATTTTTATTGATGAGGTGGATGAAATTTTAGATCCCAGAAATCAGTCACTGGCGTGGGGGAGTGTTGAGACCCCAGGACAGAGCACTGAGTGACCTCTGCCATTCTGAACCACAATCTATAGTAGGGAGGACCATGGGGTGGGCCCCGAGGGCAGCAGATAAGATACAGTCCTGCTGGCTGCAGGGCTGTAGGCAGCGTGTGCCCTCTGATTTCACTTGGGTGTAGGGCAACCAGTCCCAACAGGCTGCTGTGAGCCCTGGGAGACGGCATTGCCTATGGTGTCAGGGAAGGCGCCCAGCTACAGCATGTATCATGAGGCACTCCTGGGAGAAACTACAGGCTCTGACCCCTGCTATCCTCCAATTGGAAGAGCCATGGCCAGGTATGCCCCTGAGGCAGGTGAAATTTCCCAGAAGGAGAGGCTAGGGGTTGCTCTTGTGGGGAATGATTTCTGGGTCAGAAAAGTTCCTGGGATACATTGGTCTTGGTGCAGACAGGGAGGAGGCCTGGTAATGGCAGAGCCCCTGCCATGACAGAGACAAAGTCTTTTCCACTTTGAACTCAGGGCCCAGAGGTTCTCCAAGCCCTCAAAGCAGAGCTGCTCTTCCCTGAAGACCTTCACCTCTCAGGGGACAGGGTCACATGGGGTCTTTGATGGGGTGGGGGGGGTCCCTGGGCATGGAAATGTCTGAGTCTGCAGCAAAGATGCACACATGGGCCTTGTGCCCCATCTCAGGTGGGCTCATGGACCCCGGGCCCACAGATGGGGAAACTGAGATTGTACCACATGCAGTCTAGGAGGCCAGGGGCTGCCTGGGTATGCAGAATGAGGGAGCTGCTGGATCACAAGGTTAGCTGGTCTTACTTGGGTATCAGGGCTGGAGTGAGATGAGCTTGGGCTTTGCTAGGAGATGTCTAGGCTAGGCATGGGCAGCAGTATTGGAGGGGTGCTCTCAGGAAGACATCAGGGCCAAAGCAGATGGGGTCAGCATATGGATGAGGACACAGTCCCAGGATGCTGAGGACAGCAGTGGATCCCCACCACCTGGAAGGTGTATGGGGCAGAGAAAGACCTGAACAGGAGAGGGTGACTCCAGGTGGCAGCCAGCTGGGACTTCAGGCTGGAGGGCAGAAAGAGGGCAGTCAGAGCAGTTGTATGTGTGAGCAAGTGTGTATGGGGGTGGTTCCTGTGTGGAATTGTAGTGGCCCAGGGGTGGGAGGGAGGGTTTCATGATTAGGCAGTGCCCAAGAAGTGGAGGGTCAGCATTAAGGCTGTGCTGGGGTGAGGAGCTGTGGGGTCCAGGGAGGCAATTTTAGAAGAAAGGCTGCGAGGACCAGGAGCTGAGGAGAGAGGCTGATGGACAGAGAGGGGCTGGTACCCTGGGTGGGGTGGGGACAGGAAAGGGGCTCTCCTAGGGATATAGTCACAGCCCTGGGCTGGTGGTGGCCTGACTGGAGGGATGAGTGAGAGCTGTAGGGGTGGAAGAGCTGGACTCACCTAGCACCAGGCTCAAAACCATGGCCATCAGGAGTCCGCCGAGAAGCCGCATGTTGTCAGGGTGAGGACAATGATGGCGTCTTGGCTTCTCCTTATACCCGTGTCTCTTCCCACCCCCACCCTTCTGAGTCACTGGCAGCTTGGTTGAGCTAGGAGTCAGGCCAGGCTCAGGTCACACTACAGACCAACCTAGCCCAGGGCTTGTGACACTGTGCCCTCAAGGCCTTCTTCCCATCCATAGAGATGTCCCAGTTGGCAGAACTAGGGACCTCATGAGGGTTCAGGCCTAGGGTGGATACTCAGCAAGGTGGTCCCTACAGTGGCTGGGAGGAGGGGCTAGCACAGGCAACCAGCCCAGGCCTTGCCCTGAAAGATGCAAATAGAGCTACCAGTGGGTGGAAACCCAAAGCTACCTTCGGCACCCCACCCCTGAAGGGAGTCAGGAGACCAGGCCTCCTCAGAAAGAGCTGGAACTTCCCATCTTCCAAATGGGCCTTCAGTCCCAGGGAAGCCAAGGAAGCTGGGTGCATGCTACATCTTGAGGAAGAATGTGGAGTGCTGTCCAAGTGATGGACCATGCTGGTATGGTACCTAGGGGCCCAGAACCCATGAGCATTTACCCAGTTGGGCAGGAGTCCAGCAAGGCCTTGGGGTAAAGGGGGTGTGTTTCAAGAGGTGGTAAGAGCCAAAAGGGGAACACTGCCAAAACCCAGCAAGGTTGGGGCTGGGTGAGGGGCTCAGAGAATCAGCTTGCCACCCAGGAGACCCTCGTGCCCTCCCCAATAACATGATGTCTGTCTAGTAGGCTCCCCCTACTAGGGAGAGAGAGGTGGTGGACCAAAGGGAGGGATTCTGACAGGATTGCAGATTCAGACCCCTCTTCCTAGGAGGAGCTTGGAAAGTGGGCCCAGTAACCAGAAAGCCAGAAGAGAGGCTGGAAGCAGGGTTCCAAGGTCCTACTTTGTCACCCAGACTCCCTTACTGTCAGTCTTCCCCAGGCTTGTCTGCTCCTCACAAGGAGCTAGGAGACCTGCCTCTCTTGCATCAAACTGAGTGACTCAGAAATCCCAGGAATCCTGGGATGGCTCTGAGATCAGGCAGGACCGTGGGAGATGAAAGAGCCCAAGACCTGGAAGAGCTGGGGTGGACAAGAGTCCAGGGCCCACAGGGCCAGGAGAATCCACCAAATGAGGCTGAGTGGGTGGGGGCCTGAGTGCATACCAGGGGATAGCAAAAAGGGGCAGACATGTGCGTCCATCCATTTATTCACCCATTGCATGAGGAATGCTGTCAGGAACTCTCCGAGATACTGGGCATACAGCGTCAAGCAAGGGAGTGAAAGGGGTTATGGCCTAAGGGTAAAATTTCAGGTCCACATCAGGGTGAGAGCCATCAAGGAAATGGGCAAGGAAGCACCTGGACCCCAGAAATAAGACAGATCACTGCAATAAATCAGAGGCTGTAAAGGGAGGTGAAGAAGCCATTGATCTGATTTCCCTTCCTGGGGCCCAGGGAAACTGGCCACCGGAGTCCCCAGCAGGGAGGGACCTGCCACAGTGCTGACCTGTCACTGTGGACAGGGCCTCTGTAGCTGGCTGCATCTCCAGGTCAGTGCCTCAGTGCCAGTTTCTTCTTCCGGCTCTGTCGCATCTCATGGGAATACCACTCCATGGTGCCACAGTGCAGCAGGAAGCCCCTCTTGAGGGCTCCAGGCTGCTTCTCCACAGGGAGTGGCCCTGGATGACCAATCAGGTTGAAGGGCTCTTGTTGCCTCCAGAGTAGGAATGCCCATCGGCTTTGCCAAAGCCCTCGGTCCCCATGGAAAGGCCAACTTCATGGTGCCTGATATTCCTTTGCCTTTTTCCTCTGTCACTACATCCCATATGGGTCTCTTCCTCCTGTGTCCAGAGAGGGCTGAATGCCCCACACTTGATTGGTCCTGGGATCCTCAGACCTCTGGTGTGGGTTTCCACCCTAAGCTTTCCAGTTCTAGAAGAATCTAACATGCTGAGATTCTCTGAAGGTTAGAAACCCACCATCTCCTTCCCAGGGATAGGGAACAGAGCACCATGAACCCCAGCTGGTGGGAAAAAAGTCTGCATGGTGAGTGGGGTAGGGTTGAGCAGGGAGCCAGTTGGCCTGGGGGCAACTAATGCCGTCATCTCTCTGTGCGCTGGTTTCCCCACTATCAAAAGAACATGACTGTGGTCCCTAGCTTGCAGATTGCCCTGGAGCACTTTGAGCCATGAGTGGTGAGAGTAGAAGGGTATTTGTCACACCACCCTGGACAGGACCAGGACAGGCCAGTCAATGCTACCTATAGTGCCATTACCTCCCACTAGTTGAGCACCTTCTGTGTTTGGCACCTGACAGGATCAAGGACAGACCAGCCAAGCAGGATGCTGTCCGTGGGAATCCCAGGCTGAGGACAGCATGGTCACTGTGGCACCTGGATGGGTGCCCCAAACACCCTGAGCCCACCACAGGTGACCCAGCACTCCACTGAGGCAAAAGGGAGGCCCATTTGGGGCCCTCCTAGCTCTGGCTGAGGACACCACTTGTGTAATGGACTTGCACAAAGGAGGTGATGACAGCTCCTCAGACATCTCCCACTGACTCACAGCCTCATCTGGCCCCTCCTGGGCAGGACCTGGGCCTGCACTAGTCACAGTTCCAAGGCTGCTGCTTGCTGGTGGGGTCCTCAGGGAAGGAGACCACAGGACCAGGGAAGGAGATGGCTGCTTTTCTCTGGGCTCAGCCCTTGACCGCCTCCCCACTGTGTGTGCGTGTGTGTGTGTGTGTGTGTGTGTGTGTGTGTCTGTCTGTCTGTCTGTCTGTCTACCAAGCCTCCCCTGTTCTGTTTGTCCCTTTCTCCTCCTGCCCTTGTGTGAAATCCATCACTCGTCTGGAAAGTGAAATGTCCCCGCACTGGAGGCCTTCAGTTCCACCTAGTGTGTGTGTCTGTCTGTCTGTCTGTCTACCAAGCCTCCCCTGTTCTGTTTGTCCCTTTCTCCTCCTGCCCTTGTGTGAAATCCATCACTCGTCTGGAAAGTGAAATGTCCCCGCACTGGAGGCCTTCAGTTCCACCTTCCACTCACAAACCCCATCCTTTCAAGGAAGAAACTGAGGCAAGAAAGCATCCTCAGCCACAGGAACAGAGCCCCAGGAGGGAGATCCATCTCCTGAGCCCACTCTGAGGACACAGCCAAGCAGCTCTCAGGGTGCAGCACCCAGCAGGGCTCTCCCAAGAGGGCTGTGTTTGGGGACAGGGACAATTCCCCCACAAGAGAACTGATGCTATCCTGCCCTCCCGGGCTGGGCTGGCTTGAGGAGCCCCTCAGCCAACAGAGGAGCAGAGGCTCTGTCAGTGAAGAGGACAGCCCCACCCCGCTTCATAGGAGGAGGCAGGCACACCCTGGCCACCCACATTCAGATAGTGTTTGGCAGAATTGTGCCTCCCAAATCTGCTCTGGAGTTATATTCTTGGGGAGCAACTAATGGTGCTTACAGGAGTGGGATGCTTCAGCCCAAGGTAGACCTCAGCCCCTCCCTGTAAACTTTATCAGGGTACAGGGGGCCCACAAGACTCCTAGGCAACTGGTGCAGACCTGGCTTTGATATCTGTACACTTCTCCTGCTGGGATTGACCTAGGTAGGGATCTATGGACAGAACTAGGGGCAGCCTCAGGAAATAGGCAGCGGTCTTGGATTGGTGTGCCATTCCCCTGCTCTGCCCCTGCAGGCCAGCTGGCCTAACCCTGTCCCCCTCCAAGCCATCTGATACATGGACACACCCCTCACCCTGCCCCATAGGACTTGCTGTGCCGTCCTGCCCAGAATAGTCTGGCTTTCATCATGTACAAGCTGGACCAAATATAGTAGGGGCACTGGCTTGAACCCAGAGTGGGGGTGGGAGTGGAGAGGTCAAGAGATAGGGATGAACAAGATGGCACCATCCCTGCACCCTTGATGGCTTCTGAGGCTGGAGGGGCCTGTTGAAGCAGAGCCATCACCTCCTAAACCAAGAGCTGCTGTGATACCAGGTCTGGTCCTCTTCCTGGGACAGCTGTGGTGATAACGGCCTCCACATATGGCCTCATTTCATACCTGCTCTGGACAGCTGCTGGCCTCAGGAGGAAGCAGAGTAAACCCTGCTGGGTCCCACTGATGTCCAGGAAGCTTCATAATCTCCTCTCCTTTTCCAGCGCACTTACCACCTACTTTGCAGATTGAGGCAGGGGCTTGATGCACAGGAGGTTCCCACTGAGTAATAATTCCCAGGCCAAATGACTGCCCCTGCCCCTGGCAGCTGTTCTTCTGCTACAAACCCTTGCCTGTGGCCAGAGGAGGACCCCAGTCTGCCCACCAAGGCCAGACCCCTTGGGGGGTCCAGTCCCACACATCAGCCCTCTGACAGAGAGCAGTCACGGCCTGGGAGTAAGGCCTTGAGGGTGGCTGGAGGGCAGGAGTCCTCCTACAGACAGCCCCGGGCCCTGGTGCAGTTCAGGGGTCTCAGAGGGCTGAAAGTTGGGAGAGAGGAGAATGCATGTAGGAGGGAGCAACTGTCTCTCTGAGGCTTGTCCTTGTGTGGGTCTGCCTCAGGGAGCAGAACTTAGATCAAACCCCAGATGGTGGCCAGAAGAATGGAGGCCGAGGCCAGGGTTCCTGGGGCAGCAAGGCCAGCGCCATTGCAAAGGTCATACTGGCAGCAGGAGGTGGTGGATGCATGCTTGGAGTAGCCATCATATACGGTCTCGAAGCAGCTGGGCACGCATGACTTGCTCACCTTCATCCTGTATGGGGTATAGTCTGCAGGGGACAGATCGGGGGAAAGAATGTTGTCCCGAGAAAGATGGGGCTCCAATTGTCTTAATGCTGGCATGCAAAGGCTCCCAGGAAGACCCTGGAGCAGGTGAGAGCCTCCCTCCTGTACCCGCCATGTTCCTGGGCAAGCTCAGGGGCCATCAGACTTACAGGTACGCGTGGTCATGCAGTATCTAACCATGGTTGGGCAGCGCATGGGGTTGAAACAGTTGTCTCCATTGTAGGCACACACGTGGCAGTCCAGGGCCTGAGCTGGGGGCAGAGTGGAGGGTCACAGGAAGGATGCTCTTTCTTCAGCCCATCATCCTCCCCAGGGCAGGGAAGTTAAAAGGAGAGGTGGTCAATAAGAATTCTGGTCAGCCTCCCCAAATTGGGCCTGTGGTCTCGGTCCACTTACCAAGAGGCAGGCCCATCAGGGCCACCAGGAGCAGGGCAAGCAGAGGCGCCATGAGTAGAGGTGAGAGAGCACCTGGACAGGTGGATCCAACTCAAGGGCAGGGGCAGGGCACTGAGGGTGTGGGAAAGATCCCTGCCCTCACCAGGGCTCTTGGTCTGTGGGAGTTTCAACAGCCCTGTAGAGGGTGGGAAGGATAGGTGGTCAGTGCTAGGCCTGGGCAGGCAGTGGGTCCAGGGAGGGTACCAACTCAGTGGGAGTTAGGGAGGGTGTCCTGGGCACTTAAAATGGGAGGAGGTGGAAGTAGGAGTCAGAGGATAGTGCACATTGAAGGGTAAGGGGAGATGCTGGCAGGGCGGTACAGGAGGTGGGAGAGGCCTAAATGCTAGAACCAAACCAGGCCTTGGCGGGTGAGTGAGTGTGTGTGTGTGTGTGTGTGTGTGTGTGTGTGCAGGGACTATAGGAGCACTGCACACAGACCCCTCCCCTCAGGGTTGTGAGTGAGGGGAGCTAGACAGGGCTAAACTGGGGCCCAGACCGAGGTCTCTTCTGGCTGCTCTGGTGTAACCCTGTCTGGGGTCTCTCTCCCAGAAAGGCTTCCAGAACCCCACTTGGCCCCTCAGGCCTGCATCCTGCCCACTCCCAGCAGCTACGATTAGACGCATCCCTGGGCAAGATGGAAGGACGAATCCTCTAGGTTTGCAGTTGAGATATCCGCTCTTTGGGAAGGAGTTTGGGGGATCTGGGCCATAACTCCCTTCGCCCTGCTGCCGTACTCGGGCCAGTCCCTGCTCGGGGGACTAAATTAAACTCTCCAGAAAACAACCGGTCTTTCATGACCCATTTCCCAGGCGCCAACCCGGGATGCTCAGAGTCTGACTCAGGTCTGGGCTGCGGCTCCAGCGCTTCCCGCCCCCTCTGACAGCCCCGCCCCCGAAACTGCGGTCTAGGCCCAGAGAGGGCTCTGAGCGCCTGCGGAGTGACCTTCAAGACCACCAACCCCCGCGCCTCCCAGGAACTCACCGAAGCCGCCTGCCAGGCCCTCTCGCGGTCTAACTGTGCGTGAGTCAGCGACTTCCACAGCACCCAACGCGCAGCGCTACAGCCTGTACAGCGGAGGCTCACCGCAGGCCCCGCCCCGGGCTCGCTGCCAGCTCCACCCCCACCGGTAAAATCCACTTCAGGCCACGCCCCGGACTCTCCCCCAACGCTGCTCAGGCTCCTCTAGTTAGAGGCAGATCACCCCAGACTGGTCCCCGATGCTGCTTCCTGCGAGAACGCACGGCAGGCCCTGCCCCCGCCCGCCTCCAACCTAATTTCTGGACGCCCTTTCGGTCTCGCCCCAGGTAGCCTGGGCCCTGTGAGGTCACCGAAGGTCTGGTCCCTGCCTTGGCCGCGCCCGGCCAGGGTCACAGCCCTGGCCCTCTCTGATACTGTTCCCCGTGCCCCTCCCCACCCACCGAGGTCATTTCGCCCATCAGGTCCCTGCCAGGACCTTGAGGGTGGGTGAGGAACCGCGACAGTAGCCCAGGCGTCATGCTCCCCATACAGAGCCCAGCATGACATCCTCTCGACCCTCAGGGGCGTGTGCACCTCCTGGACATTTGTCACCTGGGCCCCTGTAGTCTTCCCACTCCGACTTCCCAGCAGCCGCGCTGTCCTCCGACCCGGAGACCGCTCCTTGTCTCAGTACCAAGCCGAGTTTGCTGGCAGTGATCCGAGGCAAACCTGGGAGGCATCCGTGGTTCTCACGCCCCTTCCGATTTCGCTGTTCCAATTTTAAATAACTATTTTTATGTAACTGTAAATATTTTGTTGTATTTTTATTCTCTTTTAGGCAAACTAATGGATCTTTATGGGCCCTAACATTTTCTTCTTTTCTATCGTGACAAAGAAAACAAAACATTTCTTCCACCCTGAAAGCTTATTTTAGCCTTTAAAAAGATCCATCATTTTTGTGGGCTCCGGAGAAGTGAAATCTTTCAGTCTGGACAAATCAGGCGGCTTGGGTGAACTCTTTGCCAAACAGTTCCATCCCAGATGTCCCAGCAGTCAGGAACAGGGCAGGGGAATAGGACCTACTGACTGAGTGGTGAGTGTCCCAGCCTTCTGGGAGTCACACTCATTGGAAGTGTACACTCAAGGAGAAATCTGTGTCCCGGCTTCAGTGTGCTTTGAGAGAAAGTGATGGAACTGGATTTACTGTCCTGTCTTTAAAAACTGAAAATTCCGGGCATGGTACACACGCCTGTAATCCCAGCACTTGGGAAGTTGAGGCAGGAGTATTGGTGTGAGATTGGAGACCAGCCTGGGCTACATAGTGAGTTCAACGTCAATCTCAACTACATAGTGAGACCCTGTCTCAAAACAAAACAAAACCAAGAAACTGAAAGATGAGGCAAAGTGTACAAAATAACATTGTATTGGTTATTGTATTTATTTGTTGCACTTATTATTACACAATTTATGTTTGGTATTGGATTTGCTATTATGAGCCAGACATGGCTCCATAGACAACACAGGACAGTGACCCTTGGGTGGCCAGGGATAGAGGAAGGGAGCTATAAGACATAGCACAGACAGGAACCCCAGTAGTGTTCTGTATAGACCCACCTCTATCTACCCATAGCCACCTTGAGTTGTAACTTCCAAAAGCATCCCTGGGAAGCCCTGGTCAGTTTACTGCATAATTTCCCAGCTAACCATAAATACACAAACCCACCAGAGTGGTGTGTGGAGCTTTACAGCTGGACTCTGGCTCCCTTGGTGCCAGAAATGTGCCTGGTGTCCTTGAGATTAGCTTGGGATAAACCAGGTACATCCAGCTCCAAGTCACTTTTCTCCTGACCAATACTTATGCTCCTCCTGTCACAAATCATGGATCCACTGACTTGCTGCTTGCTGCCCAGGACTGTGTTTCCATAGCTAAACCAGTAGGTTGCACTCTGTGAGACTGGATTTGTCCATCTTTCTTCAGTCTCAGCTACCTTGGCCTCCTCATCCACGTGGCACAAAGATATCTATGAGCTCCCCATATTTATTGAGAAACAGTGTGACAGCACATTTCTGAATAACCTATGGATCAAAGGGGATATTGTGAGGATAGAATGTAGTGCTCCCGTCCTGACATGTAGACTGTGTCAATTCTAAGAAGTATCAATCTAATAGGAAAGTACTGGGTTTCACTACTTAGGGCAAATGGAAACTTAATGGAACTCTGCTCAACTATCAGGCAACCTAGATTTGTTTGCTCCTGTGCAATCATCCTAACTGACGTCTCATGCATATAACCCCACACATCCCTAGCTGGGAACCAACTCCTGGGCTCTTGACCCAGGTGTACTACTGCTAGAGGCAATTCACTTCTACTTTTAATTTTCTTGCAACTGGTTGCATTTTTTATTTCATCACAGGTCTTCTTTGACCTAACAGATATCAAACAAGGAAAGAAAATATTTTCTACTTCATAAAAATGAATACACAGATCACTCAGGAAGTGGATGCACCTTAGAGGGAGATTGCTTATGGTTTCTGCAGTAGAGAAGGAGAAAGTTCCCCAGATGAGAAAGGACCTAAATTTCCAGCTTTAGAAACTAGACACAGAGCAAATAAAACCCAGATGAAGCAAAATAAAAGGAATCATAAAAATAAGAGAAAAACTGAAATAAAGCAAAATAGTAGGGAGGCACCGGCAGCCTCAAAGCTGGTTCTTCCAGGCCTGTGCATCCATGATAGGACTGGAAGGAGGACAAGGCAGCCCCAGTTGTCCCTTTTAGCTGGTTCTGCATCCTTTGCAGGAAGGAGGCCCATGCTGGGTGCCAGGGAAACACGGGGGTCACGTTTCTTCCTGTAGCGAGGCACCCAGGCCTGACAGGGATGTGAGGACCACAGACATTTCTGGCAGGCCGAGGGAGGGTCTCAGAAGATACTGTCAGCTGCTTTTGCAAAATTCTCCTGAAATTCTGCCCTTTGGAAATTGTACTTGGCTACTTCTAGCAATTCTACTAATGCAGAAAATTGCCTACTCATAGCCCAGCACCTCATCCCTGAGTGCCAGGGGCCACCTCTCACCACCACCTCCCCTTTATCACTCACTGGGTAGGATCTGGACTTGGATGGGGCAGTGGGACCCTGTCCTTCAGGGGTTACAAGGACCAGAGTTGGGACTGTAGCCTCTGTTGGCCAATACTCTGACTCCATCCACAGGGTCAGATGGACCCCCCGAAGGTCCCCATCTTTTTAAACCCCACTGGGGGCTGTGACAGAAGGAAGGGCCTAGATAGGGTCGAGGTCAGGTTAAGTATAGGATCTATAGGACTGCCAGTGGGCCATACTGAGGACTGGGGTCAGACCCTGGGCATGACAGGTCAGAGAACAGAGCCCGTTTGGGAGCTGCTTTACCTTTAGGTTAGCACTGGAGGAGTCTCAAGGGGATCCTTGGCCCTGGAACATGGAGGTCACCACTCCCCCCAGCATGTGCCCCATCAGTGTTGCCAGGGTGGTCCTCTTACTGGTTACCACCATTCGAAAGCCCTCCAGCTCCCCCAGGTGGTGCTCTCTCCTTTGTCTGGTGCTTGGTGGCCATGCCTTGTGGGACTACAGGGGTCACTTCCCCTTGGCCATGTGAAGATGGAGCTAGTGTATGACCCTCTGCTTGGCCCAATCCTATATCAGGTGGTTTTCCTGAAGGCCTTGTGTCCTAAAGGAGTGGGTGAAGCCAGTCAGGGAAAATCTGGGAAGGCACCTTTGGGAGGCAATAGGGACTCTGTGGGGACAGCTGTGTTGCAGCAAGGGACTGGGGGAATGGGGCTTCTGCCATAGCAATGTGGTCAGGGTGCTGGCCACACTAGGTGAGTGCCAAACACTTAGGTAGGGAACTGAGGCCCCAGGAGGTAGAGGGTCTGGCTCAAGGTCACCTGGTGAGGACCAGATTTGGAGGTAGAGCCTGCTCATGGAGAAGGGGGCTTACTTAGCAGAGTCATTTGGGGCCAACCCCTAGCCTACATAGACCTGGGAGTTCCAAATTAGCCCAGGTCCTCAGGGGAGGCAGGGAAGATTGGAGGTCAACATCCAGGACCTCCTTGAGTCACATTCTACTTCTCACTATCCCTTGACCCCAGGATCCTCTGCACAGCTCTGGGAGGGTACTCCTTTCAGGGCACAGGACACCTCTGGATCCCCCACCAGCTGCCTTTCCACTGTGCTGAGTCAGGACTGACCACAGCAGGGTGGCCAGGGTCAGAATCCTATGATGAACCCCATGCAGCCTGGGAGGGTCGCTGCTATTGAGGTACTGGGCTGGCCTATTCCCCATGAGTAGGAGCAGGAGGGCTGCCTATTTGGGCATCTGATGAGCACCTTTTCTTCTTCTTGACCTCACAGCCTCATACTCAGAAAAGTGCTCAATCCCAGGCAGCGGGAAGGAACTCAGGTAGGAGGCTCGGAACTCAGGTAGGAGGCTCAGAACCCAAGCAGTGAGCAGAAACTCAGGCAGCTTCCCCAAACCTCTGCTCTTCTTAGGCCCTTTCCTGCCCAGTCATGCCCACCTAGCTCTTTCTGGCTGAGGGGCTGCTGGGCTCCCCAGGATGAGATCAGCCAGGCCAGGGAGACTTGCCATGGGCCAGGGCCAGGTCAGTCAGTGCCTGCTTAACTCCAAGGCTGGGGGCTCTGTGTGGGCCCGGCCCAAGCCCCTGCTCCAGCTCTGCTTAGACTGCCCCAGGAACATACACCTCTGGAGCTGCAGGTGGCACTGGCAGGGTCCTGCCACCTGGAGATGTGGGCTGAGGGAGGGGACTGCCTTCTCCCAGTGTGGGGGTGCTGCATTCTGTCAAGACTAGCCCAGTGCTGTCCTGTCGAGACTGATAAGTAGTGGAGACTGGAGTCACCTGCCCTAATTCCTGTGTTCCACAACCACACTGGTTTTAAATCATTTATTTATATGCAGAAGTTTGAGTAGAAAAATATTTAACATAAGTAGAAAATTCAGGAGGGGGAATCTGAACGATGTCTGTACTTTGCCCCCATACTGCCTGCCTGGCCACTCCTTTTGTCTCGAGAGATATCCTGTGCCCACCAGGACTGGTCCCCAGCCTGTAGGGAGTCTCTGGCTTTAGCAGCCCCATGTGATAAAAGAGGGAATGAAAGGGAAAGGGGTTACAGATTGGCAGCCAAGAGGAGGTTAAAGAATCCCAGGGTAAGGATCAGCACTAGGCCCAACATGCTGTTGAGAGAGGCACCAGCTGATGTAGCACTGTTCAGCCCCACATTGCACAGGTCTTCCTGGCAGCATTGTGTTGACTCTGCGCCACTGCTGACCTGGTGGCCCTGCTGGCTGTGGGAAGGTATGCATGAGTCCTCACAGGTCTTCTTCACCAGGTTCCCTGCCAGAGACTCCACTGCACATGATGAGGGGAAGGGTGGGTGGGTCAAGCCTGGGTCACCATGCACCCCAGCTCACACCCATGAAGGCCCAGATGTACTCCCACTGCCACCCCCCCACACCACCCTGGCACAGTCTCCATTATGACCAAACCATCACCTGGATCACACCCACCCATCAGCCCAGGTAGTCCTCCCAGCCCTAGGGCACCACCACTTACCTGAAGTCACGGTCTTGCAGTAGCGGGAGCTGCTAGGGCAGGACTGGGGCTGCTTGCAGTTGCTGGTGTTGGTACACACATGACAGCGGAGTGTGTAGGCTGGTGGATGAGGGGCAGGGGTCCCAGTTAGGCCTGGGTCCTTTGCCCACAGGAACCCATCCAACAGAGTCTCTGCCATCCTTGTTCAGGCAGCCCCCACCCTGCTTCTGGACCCCACAGGGCCCATTTCCTGTGCACAGCTCAGGAGAGGTATGCTGGGCACCTGGAGCCTTTGGGAGAGAGACTACATCTGGGCAGGGCAGGGTACAGAGGAATTCTGTGGAGACCTTTCCTCTAGGGCCTCAGACAGCCCTGGCACTATGCTAAGAGCAGTTGTGGGAGGAGGCTACTGTCCCCACTGGCCATGCCCATGTCTGCCAGGGAGGGACTCAGAGAGTTTTCAGGGAGGGAAAGGGCCCAGGGAGGAGCAGGCTGCAAGCACTGGATGGCTCTGGGAGGTGTCTCAAGACAACTCCCAGCTCTACCTCCTCACAGTGTCTATGATTATTCTACAGTCAATGCTTAGATTCTCTGATTCTGAAATATTTTAAATCTGTGATTCACAGTCACAGATGTAGATTCATTTTGTTGTAAAAATCCTGAAAGTTACACATCTCACGTATCAGAAATCTCTTGGGCCAGGGATTTAGCTCAGTGGTTCTGCCGCCTGCGTTGCAAGCACAAGGTCCTGAGTTCAAACCCTGGTACACCCCCTCAAAGTCTCTGAGCCTGAATTCCAGGCTTCTAGCATTTGATGACCACCTATCAGGCACAGAGGCCAAAAGCTGCCCGTCCCTCCAGCCCCCAGGCCTAGCTTCTTACCTGGGCCCAGGGTCACAGCCAGGGTGATGAGGAACAGCCAGACTGTCTTCATCCTCAATCCTCTGTGTCTTCTGGAAGCAATGGAGTCCCTCCTCTCCACAGGCCTTATACCTGGGATGGGCTCCAGCTGGTAAGGCTGGAAGACATCCAGCCAGTGATGCAACAGGGCCTGCCCCATCTTGCCTGGCACACACCCACCAGCCCAGCCCTAGAAGGTGAACACTTCCCCTAGTCATCTCCTGATGTGCCCTCTTCCCTCTGGGGTCCAGCCAGGGTGGGCTGTGAACAGAGCCTCCTGGCCAAGCAGCTCTTGGCTCTGTGGCTTCCTCTCTTCCATCTTGTCTCTGCTGCTCTGGGTCTTGATCAATTCTCTTGTTGTCTGTCTGCCTCCCATCTCTGACTTTCCAGGTTTTTGTGCCTTTGTCCTGTGTACCCCTCCCTCAGGTAGTTCCCTCCAGTCTCAGCCTATGCTGGGTGCCATAGGGTGCCCCTGGTAGGGAAGGCAGGAACAGAAGGAGCTGGCCCTGCCTTCCTGGGCTCTGGGCTCCTGGCTCCTGGGCTGGCCTAGTGGAGCCTCGATTATAGGACCCCTGGAGTGGCTGCAGGTGAGGGTCTATGGCAAGCAGAGAAGAGGCAGGGGTTGGGCCGCATGAGCCACAGCTCATGTAGGGTGGAGGCCAAGTGAAGGTGTGAGCTCCAGGCTGTAGGAAACTGGACATGGCAGGGGCTGGTGGGAGAAGGACAAGGCTGTGGAGGTGAAAACTGGGTCAATCATTGTCAAGGAGACAGAAGCACTCTTTATTATCTCATCTACCCCCAACCTCCCTCCAGGTCCTGGGGCCCAGGACCCCTTCCCCTGGAGAACTCCCTCTCCAGTGCTGTCAGTCCTGCCCTCCTTCTGGAGCCGTATCCTAGCACCTTCATCATTCTGCTTTATAAAGTCCCTCTACCTCTGCTGTGGTTCCCCAAAGCTGAGGGTTCCCCAGAGCTGGGCCCCAGTACCCAAGATCCTGGGGCACACACAGAGTCTGGTCTTGATGGGGGAGGAAGAACCTTATGTTTGAGCTTGTAAGGGGTACTCTTTTCCCCTGTGACTTAGGTCTCTGAGCATCTGCCTAACTTAACTAGAAGATAGAGCATGGCAAAGCTGGCCAGAAAAATAGGTGAGACCAGCAAGACCCAGAACAGCACCAAATAATTCCCATGACCCCCTATGTAGAATGTCTTAAGTGTTCCCATGAGATGTGGACTGCATATAAGGATACAGACACCATGAGGAGCTCCCTATTGTGACTTTTCACTGTAGCTCATCCTGTGTCCTCTAGACCAGGGTGTACTTTCATGTTTGCTCTTTTCTTCTTTTGTTTGGCCCAAGTTCACTCTGCAGAGCCAGTATCACCCTTTCCCCTTCTCCCCTCAATTTTGAAATAAAATTTTGGCATCATTTTTGGTTTGTCTCATCCAATTCTTTGTTTAAGACAAGAAAGACCTGGAATAAGTTTAATTGGTAAGCTATTTCTAAAGAAACTACCCTATAACATAACTGAAGCAGGGGCCGCCCTTCATACTGCCTCCATTTACCCAGGTTGGGTCAGGGAACCCTGCAGAGCCTTGCTCTGCCCCTGCTTTTAGAGGTGAACTGGGGTTGGGTACAGCTCTGGGCCTGTCCTACTCTTGTTCACATGGCAGCTGATGGACATGAGCCAACAAGGGCCAGTGGGTAAGGACTTGCTTAGGGAGGGTGACCAGGCTGCAGTTCCTGGAAACCCATAGGTTCTGTGGGGTGGGGGGTCAGAACCATGGCAGGTCAGGTGGGATTAAGCTGTGACCGCCAGGGCATGACCACGTGGCTCTCCTTGAAGCAGTTCCCAGATGTGGCAGCACCTGCCAAAGGCTGAAGGGTCATTGGTGGTGGTGCAGAGACCCTGGAGGGTGCCAGTAGAGCTCAAGGGGCAGCCTCACCTCTGTGTCCTGTGCCCCCCAAGAACATCAGGTTTAGAGGATTGCATGGCTGGTTGAGGGTGGGTGATTCAGAGGCCTTTGAGGGCAGAATTCAGAGCTTGGTGACAGGGTGGTAACAGGAAGGATAAGAGGTAGGGAAGCTGACTCATCCAGGAATGTGCTGGAAAAACAGGTTTGGAATTCTTGCTGTATGCAGTGAATCTGGGGGGCCCCAGGAGATACTGGGGTGGGGGCTACTGGGCTCCTAGGAGGAGCCTGGATCTGGACAGCTGGGCAGTGGCCACCGGGCTACCACACATGGGGCTGGATGAGGCCCCTGCACACCTGTCCCCCAGGGCCTTAGGTTAAATGGCAGCCATGTGTCCTGGAGGCTGGGGTGGCAGGCATTCCAGTTCCATGGAGGGAGGGCCTATAGGCCTTTGTCCCTGCCAGGGCTGCTAGGAGAATATAAGCTGCCCAGACATTTCCAGGCAGAAGCATGGAACAGTCCCAAAGGCAATTTGCTGCCAGGAGAAAGTGAGTGATTTTGCTGGTGGGAGCTCCTGGAGGGTTGAGAGCCGAGAAGGGGCAGTCAAAGAGGTCTTCCTATAGGGTGATGGCCAGCCTGGGGCCTTGGAGTTAGTTCAGCTACCCTGGCCTGGAGGCTTTCTCATGTGGCCATGAACATTAGTCCTGACCATATCCCAGGGGCCCAAATGCTTCCCTGTACTTCAAAATGTTTCATTCATTCACTCCACAACATTTTAGGATCTGCCACCATGTGCCAGGGTGGTGGATATAACAGATATCAAGAGAGAAAAGAGTTAGGGCCCAGTGCTCAGAGCCCCCATGTTGCCATTAAGCTGAGGATTCTCCTACTCAATTCAAATGGAAACCACAAGCAAAGTGAAGCTCTGTTAGCAGTTCTGATGTCATGAGATGACAACAGTTGACAGCGAGCTTCTGGTCACTGCTTCTGTCAGCTGTCACCACCTGATGCTAGCTGGTGCTGGATACCATACATTGACTCTGCTGGCCTCTATCTGTCCAGTGCCGGCTTGTGCTAGGGTAGTACACAGGAGAGACTTCTAGACTGAAAATCAAGAAGGGCCTGGAAAATGCTACTTGTGTAGCAGCTTGCAGACCTATTTCATTGAGGGGGAGGACTGAAACCAGGGAATCTTCTGGAAGGCTTGCTGTAAATTGTGGATATGAAAATAAAGGGCCCAGATCTCTGCTTTCCTGATCTTAGCTACTCCTGGGTGTCCTCTCTGTTCTAAAAAATGCAACAGTGTTCACTAAAGTGGCAGGAGTGGGAGAGGGGCCCCAAGCTGCCTGGCTACACTTACACTGATGTGGAGAACGGCAGTTTGATAGCCAGGGAGGACATGAGCAAACTGTCCCAGTGCATTGGGGTGAAAGGTAAAGCAAAGGGGAGCAAAGGGGAGGGGTAGGCAGCCACCAGAAAAGTCAGTCCCTCATAGCCAGCACAGGGACAAATGAATGAGACAGACCCTCTTCATCTACCTCATCCAGACCAGCCAGAGAGAGACTCCTGTCTGTTTATGGGTACACTGAGAGTGTGACTATCAGGGAGGTCTTCAGGGGGCCCCACCTGGGTAGAGCCATCTCAGATGAGGACTGAGGGTAGGTGGCCACCAACTGCTGGAGCTGGAAGGAGCATCAATCAGGGCACCAAGGCCTGGCTGCCAGTTCTGTCTGTCTTCCTGCAAGATCACATGATTGCTCTGTGAGTCAGCTAGGAGGGAGGCAGGGGAATGGAGAACCAACATGTCAGACCCTGTTGATAGCCTGGGAGAGACATGGGTGAAATTTGCACTGCTGTACAAGATGAAGTTTCTCTTAGTCACATGGAAAAAGTCCAGGGTGTGGATCACATCTCATCCCCTCAGGGACATCTGGATGTTTGTTTGTTTGTTTGTTTGTTTGATACCGGGGATCAAACTCGGGGTCCTTGTGCTTGTGAGGCAAGCAGCAGAACCACGGAGCCAAATCCCTGGCTCTCAGGGACATCTATTTCCCACTGCTCCTACCCTCACAATGCTCTTCCTCTCCCCATGCCCTTGGGAGCTCCCGTAGCACTCACAGTACTTCCTCTGAGAGTTGGGACACACCAGCTTCCTGGAGGAGTCTCAGCCAGACTGTAGATGTGGAGGCCTTCAGCAAGTTCCAGGAAAGGACTACATGGTGTGGTCTGTAGTGGCTTTGTCCCTCTCGGCCCCAGCCCCAGGTAGATGTCATCACTGGGAGGCTCTGCCCTTCCAGAGATACATAGCCATTAAGATTCTGTCTCTCTGCCCTGCTTCCTCCTCCCCATCTCCTTTCACATTCACAAATATGCTCCTGGTCAGAGAAAGGCCCAAGAAGGAGTTGGGCCTTGGGGGCTCTGAGACCCATTAGGTCTGCAGGTATGGGCCATTCTGGGATTTCACCAACCACACTTCAGACAGACTTTCTCTAAAACTTATCTGTTATCTTGGGAGCTGGGAGGAGATGTGGGGAGCACGGTGATACCAGCCCTAAAGAGAAATGGGAACATCTGAGTCTCCCTGCCTGCCCTGTTGGCTTGTCTGCCATGAGCACCATGCCTCTTACTTAGAGCAGGCGAGCTCTTCACATGGGGTACGGTGAGGCTAAGGGCCGAGCTCATTCCTCCAGCCTCAGGCAGCAGCTACATTTGAGGCTGAAATAGTCTAGCTTGGCCTAGTGCCCTCTTTGGTGCTCAATCCAGGGCAGAGATGAGGGTGTTTACCCAGGAGTTTGTGCATGATGGCAAACATCTCTGGGTGTGGGTACAACCCCAGGGAAGGGAGGAAGCTCCCAGGACCCTGCCAGGGAGTTCATTACCACAGGCCTGGGCTTAAGGGATGGAGATATGTGCTGTTATGCAAGAGGTGTAAGGGCAGGTCCTTGCGGGAACAGAGACATCGGTAACCAGGATAAAGGAGCAGTCCAGAATGAGACCCCAGGTCTGATGAGCCGCTGGCCCAAAGGACCCTGCCAAGCCCCACCTTCATTTGGAACTCCCCACTGGCCCTCCCTGTGGGTCTAACCACAAGGCTGGCCCCCTGGGGTTCTAGCTTGAATCTTATCCCAAGTACCTT